CAGACTCCTGCCCTGCTTCATGGTGGCACAGACACAGTGTACCTTCTCCCAGTTGGTCAAGGGACCAAGCACGCATGTGTCATTGCTCCACTGACTTTCAATCCCATTCAGAAATAGGCACTGGTCATTAAAAATGTATATGCTCACCACTTTCCGGTTTGGGTACCTTAAGATATAGCGCGTCTCCAGGAGAACAGAGATGTTCTGAGTGTCTGCGCCACTTTTCTGCATGATGTTTTTCACCAGGGACTCTGGGAGACAGACTAGATAGGGACCTGTAATGCTACATTCAGCAGTGATTGTCTCACTTCCACTTGCAGCTGTTGGCATGTTGTGAAAAGCAGTAAAGGAGGCCACAGGCTGAGCATGAGTAAGATTGGTACCTGAAAATATCAGCACCTTGAAAGTAACTTTTAATTTTGTGATGATCTGGAAGTATACGTTCATGGTAGTTTTACTGATCTCAAAACTAAATCCTCCAATTGTGTAAGCTTGTGTTTTATCGGGTCCCATTACTAAATGAAAAGTTACAACTCCACCTTTCCTGGCAAGAAAAAAGTCTGCTCTTTCAGGCATGAATAGAACTAGATCCCCATTAGCCTTATTCTCTGCCATTTTAAACCCTATGACCATTGATATAATATCTGATGTGTGACCTAACCATGGGAAGGGGCTCTCATCAAATTCAAAAATGGCAGTGGAAAACACAGTATCCAGGCTCATTCCTGAAACATCTATTTTTGTCAGTGTTGGAAGAAAGCAATTGTGGCAGGTGGATATGTCAGGCAAATAATCTGTAATTTTCCAGACTTCATTTTTCTTCAGAGTGATATTCCAGTGTCCTGTTTCTATTAGAGTTTCTGTTTCTTCAGGGACTTTTCCCCAGAAAACTATGTCTGTTACACCTTCCATGATGGAGAAAACATGTTGAATTCCATTTGCACTGACGTTCTTAAGACGCAGAAGATCAGCTCTCAGGACATTGGACAAGCATCTCAGTATTCCACTAGTCTGAATTTCTGCTTCCTCAGACCAATGGGTCTGACTCCTCTGTCTCTTCAGAATTCCTGTTACTTCTGTCAGTTTCCCAATAGCAAGGTCTTGTGACCTAACATTCATTTTCTCTGCTGCCTCTGTGACTTCAGAAAGAACAGCCACTACTTGATTGACTTCCATGATGCTATTTACTGAAATATTCAAGGCTGTTTTAACCACAGTTTCCCGAAGCTGAGCCTGAGGGAGCTGGCCAATTGGTTTTTTTTTACCATAGTTTAAGAGTGAGGCTGCAAGATAAGCCAAATAACCAGCTCTAAGACGATCCCCAGTCTGCTGAGCAGATGTTGACGTGCTTAAATGGCTTGCTGAAGCCAGCAGTCGATGAAATATAGCTGAAAGGGATTGAGTTCTAAGTGGGCTGCTCACGTAGGCATGTAAATTCACCTGGGTAAATGCCCTGAAGGAATCACGGACTTGAACATAAAGTGTCAACCTGTACCAACGAGAGGGCACTCCAGCTGGGAGAAAAGATGGAGGAGTTTTAGGCTCAGAACCAAAGTACAGAATTGTGCCAAATGTGTTTTCCACCACAGATGTTACTGTGGTAGTTTGCGGTATTTTGGAAGCTACTATCACTTTATATGTCAGAGGTAAATGGTTGTCAGAAAATCCTCTACACTTAACAACAAAGTTTGTCAGAAAGGCTATACCGTAGCGGGGTCTGATGTTGCACCTGCCAGGTCGAGGTGGAGTATTTACCGAAAAGGGTATTTTGGAGGATGTGGACCTACCATCCCAGGTACTTACACTTAAGTGAAGTACGTAGGATTGGTATGCAGGCTTTATGAAAGTCAGAGCATGTATAGACATGTAAGCCCCAGACCTTCCTGTTGATGTTTTAGAATCCCAATCAAAATTAATTTCTTTAGAGGTGTCTGAATAAAGGGACCAGTAATAGACTGGCCTGTTGCTCGGTTTACAGTTTGAGCATTTTCCAGACAGGACAAATCTCTCTGTTGGAATTAAACTCCTACCACAGTTTTCGATGCATTTCATATCCAGAATGAGTGGAGGGCCAGCATATACCTCTACAATTTGATCAGCATAAGCCTTCCTTGTGCCCTTTTGAATCACCAGGCGAAAGTAGTATAAGGTGCTTCCTGGGAGGGATTCTGGTGGTATTTTTTGAATGGGACCTGAGGGTGTTATCCATCTCAAATCCTTCTGGGATGGATGGCATCTGTTTTTCCTGTTGAATTTCATGGTTGCATAGTCTGCTGAGTCTTTAGTGCAGTACCAAGTAAAAATCAGTGGTCCTTCCTGTGAATCAGGATCAGAGGATTCAGAGCCATCAAGAGTCCAGCTCTCAGAAAAACCCACTGTGCGGGCCGCACCTCCTGAGATATTTGCCAATAGATCAGCTCTCTCAATCTGAACATAAATCATATCATAGGCCTTGAGGACTGTTGAGGTCCTAATTGGGACTACCTCAGCAGTGTAAGTAAACAGATACAACCCATAATCTAAAGTATTAGCTGGAATAGTTAAATGTATCATTTTTATGCCAAACATACCAGAAGTGTTTACTGGCTTTGACCAGTCCGGCTCAGTTTTTATGTCCTTAGCAGGATAGACTTGCCATAAAGACTTGATAGATATACCAATGTGGCACTCTACGTTCAACTTGACAAAGAGGAAAAATTCTGATGCCCTTTTCTTATACAAGATAATGGATCTGGGATTAGGTCTATCAATCCAACACCTGCTTATCCAACATTCTTTTTGCTCACAAACCACTGGTGCTTTTATGGTTTTTGCAGTATGGTTGTTGACCCTGACACTTAAAAGAGCTGGTGTAGGTGCACTGCTGGTGCAGTTCACTTTTGCCACAAACCCCGTGTATTTCTCTGCATCAAAGGGTAAAGCAGAGCGACGGACAAAACGCGCAGCATTTTTTACATGGTCATTGTACGTATATGTGCTACTCTGGACAATATGGTCTTTTTTTGTGCCAAAAAGCTGCAGATGGAAGGTCCACTCGCACTGTAGCATCGGATGTTGTGCAGGGATAAACCACACTAAATAACTAAAGTTCTGCAGAAAAGAAGGACGGCCAGTGCTGAAAACATGGATGTCAAGGTCTCTTTCTGCCAGTGACCTAATCAAAGCCCTCTTCTGATTCATATAAAGGTACATTTTGAACTTGTACCACTGTAAGTCCAGAAACTCTATGGTGAGTAAATAGGAGAGCTCCTTGTATTGGTAGAATACAGTGTGTGTGTTAGGGCGATCTGTGGAAAAAGTGCTGTTGTTGTCTTTAGATGTGTAAAATGTTCCCTGATTGTACCTGAAAATGTAAGTGCTGCTGTTGGTCTTCCCTGGACAAAGGTTGACATGTATGGGAGTTTCTTTGCCAGCAGTTAAGATCAGGGTGCCGTTGAGCAGGTGCAGTTCCCCCATCAATTCCTCAAACCTCTCTCCATCAACATGGAAGTAAACGCTGGCCACCACTATCTCATCCAGGCTCTGAGGTGTAGAAATGGCACAGAAGTTGCTCGACAGCGTAAATGGACTGTAGGAGCAGAGCCAACCTCCTACAGCCTGTGTGTCCACCAGTCTGTAGGCAAGTGTACTCAGGGTAAGGGGCTGAAGCCACCAGGATAAGCTGAGGGGCTGATGAGGAACACTAAGGAGCTTGGAGCTGATACTGAGGACGTGCACCAAGTCAGGCTCCACCCTCAGAAAGAGGCGGAGGCTTATGTGAGGCATCTGCTCGATACTGACCATAGCAACGTGGATCCCGGGCTGCCTGTAGCGCACAGTCAAGCGGTAGCTGTAGTAGGTGGCACAGGTTTGTTGAAGCTCAACTGTTGGATAGACAGTAGGTGATGTTGTGTCCTGGTGCTCGCTGCTGGGAAGGAGAAGGGTCGAGGGTACACCTCTCCGGCTGCTGAAGCGGTACTGCCAGCCAGCACTCTTGAGGCGCACACACCAGCCCAGCTCCAGCGGCTGCCACACTTGGACAACGTGTGTGTGCGGCCAAAGCACGAACAGCCGCGCATCCTGCTCCACGATCTCGACGCTCACGTTGTGGTGAAAGCACTCGGGTGCAGCGCAGGAGGCAGACGAGCACTGCACTGTAAGAAGGCTGGAGGCCCCGGGTGAAGGAGCTTCTCCTGGCTGCAGCACCACCTGGCCTGACCAGCGTGAGATGTTCCTTAGAGAGGCCGAGTTCAGGTACCAGACGCAGCAAGGTGGGGATGGTGACTGCCGCTCCTCCCCGTCTACCTCCAGCCCTGCTCCTGGGGCGGGCTGGTAATGCAGGGTGACGGTGCTGTTCCACAGGCACGACACCCTGTGCTCGTTGTCCTGCCGCTGGAAGACTTGGCCGTGAGGGGCCGGGCAGCTGACCCGCAGGGGTGACGGCTGGAGACGGACAGGGGAGGCCGCCGAGCCCCGGCGGCAGCAGAGGAGCAGCTGCAGAAGAAGGAGGAGCGCGGCCATCGCAGCCAGAGGGGACGGGGCGGAGGACGCGCGGCCCGCCGGGCGCTGCTCGTTGGGGTGGCCCAACGGCTGGGACAGCAGCCCGAGGGCACCGGGGCCTCCTGCGGAGGGCAGCTGGCGAGAACGCTTTTTAAGCTCGGACCCCGCGGGCCGGAGGTGGGGCCGGGAGAAGGAGCAGAGATTTGGGGGCAATAATCGCCACCGAACCGCTGCGGGCGGCCCTCAGCCGGGGCTCCGCGCGCCCCCGGCACGCACCGCCCGCCGCGCGCGCCGCCGGCGGCCCCGCCCCGCCCCGCCCCGCGCGAGGGGGGAGCCGCGGGACGGCGAGGGGAGCATGGCTGCGCTGAGGGACTGCAAGGTGAGTGAGCATGGCTGCGCTGAGGGGCTGCAGGGTGAGCGCGGGGCTGAGGGGGGAGAATGGCTGCGCTGAGGGACTGCAAGGTGAGCTTGGCTGCACTGAGGGACTGCAGAGTGAGCGCGGGGCTGAGGGGCTGAGGGGGGAGCATGGCTGCGCTGAGGGACTGCAAGGTGAGCATGGCTGCGCTGAAGGACTGCAGGGTGAGCGCAGGGCTGAGGGGTGCGAGCGCCTGGTAGCGGGACGGGCGGACGGGGCTAGGGGGCTGCGGGGGGACGGCAGGATGAGGGGCTGAGGGCTGCGGGGAGACGGCAGCGCGGCTCGGTCCTGCCCGTGCCCGGCGCCCAGGGGCGGCGGGGATGTCCCGGGCAGCTGACGGGCTCGGGGCTGCGGCGGGCGGGGAGCTGAGCCGGGCTCGCTGTGGCTGGACTCAGCCTCATACACTGAGGGTTTCGGAGGAGGGAAGCTGCTGTTGCGATCTGGAAAAGGGGAAGGGTCGCTGCGGCCATCTCTTCTCCTGGGGAAGCAGCTCCATGTCTGAGCATCTCTGGGTCTTGTTCCCAGAGCAGGGGTCCCATGGCACCCCCCTGCCCTTTCCGTGGGCCTCAGAAGTGGGTCGGGCCTTCGATTAAATCAGCCTCGGGTCAAAGAGTGCAACCTACAGGAGCTGCTTACTGATTAAGTAATTTCCATGCTCTCTTTCTGATAAACTTCTTTTATGGTTGTGTTTTGGTTAATTAGGGCAAGTGGCAGGTTAAAACAAAGTCTTGAAGATTGTGTGTGACAGGCATGATTGACACAGCTCTGGGGATCTGTTATGCAAGGAATTCAAACTGCAGCCCTCAGAGAGCACAATTCTCAGAACCAGCTAAGATTCTAGCAGAGAAAAAAATACAAATAAACAGTCATGGGATCTCATGACTGAACTCTGCTCTTAGAGCAGGGGAAAGGGCAAGGCTTTGGTCTCACCAAGAAGCAGTGAGAAGAGCAAAGGCCATGACTCTCTAATACAAGAGGCAAGACGCTCTCCTGGAGTTAGAGGGAGTGTTGTGGGAGATCAGTGTAAGAGAACCCAAAGGCAGCCTCTGTGGGAAGGGGAGCTGATCAGCCTTACGGACTCTTGAGGTTGATTTTTGCCCACTCACACTCCCTCCTGGATTTCTTCAGTCACAGTCTGATAGCTCACTAGAGGGAAACCCCAGGACCTGAGTGTCCTGAGTAGTCTGGGCAGGACCCCTTATGTATGTCCTAGAGGACAAGAGGTGCTGCCTTTTCTGTGGCCCCAGTAGTTCTTTAGTTCTCAGTTGGCAATGACAGATTAGGTTTGGAGCACACTTTTTACATCTCTTAGGAGCCAGCAGTTGCTGTGCAGTGGTTCTTCCTTGTAACCCATTGTCCTGACATGCTAGTAGTGGTCCAGAGTAGTGCCAGGGTAGTGGCATCCCCGATGTGACACAGGCTTGCTGCCATTCTCCTGTTGCCACAGTGGGAGTTTTCCAGTGAGGAGCGAGTCGGGTGGGCTGTACCCATAGCAGGACAGAAGCTTTCCAGAGTGGCTGGAAATAGCACATACCTCAGCTAGGTCAGCAGTGGCCTTAGAGATGGACGCAGGTGCATTTTCCACTAACCTTTGCTCTGCTGGTTTGTTCCAGTGCTCACACACAGACTTCTCTATTCTTGTGAATCAGCATCAAGTCCTCTCAGAATAGGGCATCATTTTCTGGCAAGCACCTCAAGCTGTTGTTTAAAATGATAAAACAGGCAGTGATGCAGAGACCTGCTCCAAACAAAGCTTGTTTTCGATGACTGATGCTGAGGGTGGCTCCTGACCTACTTTGCAGGGCACCATGGAAGACAGCCAGTAAGTGGCAAGCCTAACCTTGCTACCTACTTGACTTTTCCCTTTATTCTTTTTCTGGATGATAAATGACATAGAGAATAAAAATTTTCAGCTCCCCTGAGGTTGTTGTGTAGAGTTTAAAGGCTAACTGGCAAAAAAAGATAAAGGGGTGTATATATATAAATATATATATATATGTAAAAGATAAAGGTTTATATAGGTATATGTAAACATATAAAGGTATATATATAAATAAAGGTGTATATATACATATACATACATATATATTATATATATATATATATAAAAGATAAAGGTTTAAAGGTACACAGACAGGATTATAAACAGGCTGGAACCAGTGGAGAAACAGATAAGAAGGACTACAGTGGTTTTTTGGCAAGTTATGTAGCACAGAAGCAAGGTCGCCTTTAATATTGAAGCATTCAGTGAGTATGACCACCAGAGACCCCTTTTTATGACTCTCCAGGACTATAAAAGAACTTCCAATAGGAGCAAGATGCATGCAAATTGATTCCAGGAATTAGTTCTGTGTAATAGATAAGAAGCACGTATTAATAAATATGTATGATTGTGATGGATAAAGACCTTGTTGCAAAGTGTCACCACACCCACAGAACAAGGAAAGTGTGTCTTTTGCAGATAATGAATGCCTGCTCTTAGTGCTTCAAATTGTGAAGTTTATTCCAGTCAGTTTCAGTATCATGGATATAGGACGAATTGTAAAGAAAAGGTGTGATTTTAGATTCAGGTCTAATCTTTCAGGCATGTAATTTGAAGGCTCAATTGTTTTAGCTGTTGAAATGTGAGCCTTTAATCCAATCACAGTGGGAAAACTTTAGGATACATTAATAAAGTTGTCTTTGCTTGGTTACTTAAAAATGTTGATAGATTATTATAGCTAGGAAATGCTTTAAAATGTAAGATGAGAAGAGCACCAGGAAGAACTAAGCCCCCATTAGAAGTCTGAATTAGCTTGCCCCAGGTCTGTTTTGATAATAGTTGTCTGTCCTCCATATTCTGTGTACTGCGTTAAAGTAATGCTGAAGTGATAGGGGCAGCTTCTCAAATGAACTCTGCTCATTTGCCAGCAGCCAGCCAGGAGATGTGCCTCAGTTATGTTATGCTGATAGAAACTATGGCAGCCCAATTCTGTTTTGCTTTTTTAGCTTCATCCATGTCCCATGTTCTTGGTGTTCTCAGGCTTGTGTATAAATCTGTGATCCAAATTTTCAGTTGGCTAACTCCAGAGACTTAGTGGATTTGCTTTGCCAGGCTGTTTGGCCTGCAAGTTGATTCAGAAGAACATTATTGTTTGAAGAAGATGACATATTTATAGGTTATAGGAGAACAGGGTTTTATTTTACTGTGTCTCTACTTCACACAAGGTGTGCCTGTAGCAGAGGAATTTGCCAACAGCTCTAATGAATTCAGAATGGTGCTGTCATTATGAGCCATTGAGATCTTCTGGTACACTTGGTAATTGTTGGCTTCTTTAGTCTCATTACTAGCTCCAACTAATTAAATCTTAGTGTAACTGCAACTGAGCAAGAGGTTTGTTTCTGCCTCACACTGTGCTTCCAGCTTTTCTTTTTAAAAGTGCACAGCTGATGAAGATATTGGAACAGCATCAATTTGAACATCTGTCTGTGTAGCCTGGAAGATGAGGGTGTAAAAGGAGCACGTTTGTGTTTGTTTGTTGTGCAGGCCTGGCAGGATGCTGGACTTGCCCTGTCCACGACCAGCAATGAAGCCTGTAAGCTCTTCGATGCTGTGCTGACGCAGGTATGACCCAAAAGTGCAAGAAAATGTGATTTGAAGGGACCTGTGCATGAAACATTCTTTACTGTAGCTGATACTTAAAACTTATCAGCTGGGAGAGCCTCAAAATCAGGCCACCACAGGAGTTCAGCCTTTAGCTGGCAGCTGGAAACCCTTTTAGCAGAGGGCTGTACCAGGTGCTGCAGCTGTGCTGAAAACCTCAGCCTGTGTGCTCTTTCCACTTGATACCAACAAATCAGCCGGCTGACAAAAACCCTGTAGAAATCCAGGGTAATTGCTTCTGCTGGTGACTGAATTATATTTAGTGTGGCAAGCACATTTCTCTCCCTCTCAGGATTTTTCATAGAGGTGCACAGAGAGAAATGAAAGAGAAAACAATTTCTATTTCTGCTCCTTGTTTTTCCTATGTGGAATGTGTTTGGATAATTGTTTACCTGGGGGGGGGGGGGGGGGGCTGAGTTCTTAATTGGATTCAGGAGAAGATTGTTTGAGCCTGATGGCCAATCCAACCCACCTGTGCCTAGGCTCTCAAGAGAGGGTCACGAGTTGTGGGAGAGTTAGAGTCAGAGAGGGTAGCATGTAGTTTTAGTATCCTCCTTTTATATAGTATATTAATGTATTTTAGTGTAGTTTAATAAAGAAATAATTCAGCCTTCTGAATTGAGCTAGACATTGTCATTTCTTCCCATTGGGTTTGCCTGCATTTACAATAATTTAGCCACAGTTTTTGTTTCTCTACTACACGAAACCTTCCTGAACACAACATTTGTCTTCTAGTTATTTGCCTTGCTTTTGAATTTTAAGTGTCTGTGAGAACAAAAAGAAAAAATCCTCCTTACCATAGAGGATTTCTCAATCCTCTCTTGCTCTGTCTCTCTTACAGTATGCAACTTGGACCAATAATGAAAGCCTTGGAGGTATTGAAGGATGTCTCTCCAAGCTAAAAGCAGCAGATCCAGACTTTAGTGAGTATAACCTTTGATTCTGAGCATGGAAGTGCTGGGTTTATGCATGGTGTCTTGGTTTTTAATTGACTTTGTTTGTGCAAGGGCAAGGTGACAATTTATAGAATTCTGTAAAACTTCCTCAAAATGTAGAGCAGGCAGAATGCTTTTGTGTGGTGTTTTTTCCTTTTGATTTCCCATAATATTTGAGTAGCTGTCATGAAAACTTTCTGAGAACTTTAGGCTTGGGAGACTTCCTGGACTCCTGTGTCCACAAGTCAGTTTTATTGAAGATGCTCAGCTCCTCTGGTGTTTTGTGGAGCTGAAGGCTCTGCTGTGAGCTCAGCTGGTGCCGTGCTGTTTCCTGCAGTGATGGGACATGTCATTGCCAATGGCTTAGAGCTGATTGGCACTGGAAGGACCGTGAGGCTCGACAAGGAGCTGGACAGTGCCGTGAGAGCCATGGTAGCACTTTCCAAGTCACAGCTGCTGACAGAGCGGGAGAGGCTTCATGTGTCAGCGGTGGACATGTTTGCCAGGGGGTGAGTCCTCTATCACCCTGCTTGGGACTGTGAAGGGTTCCTTTGTCTACTGCAGGCAGAAGAGAAGGTTGGCAGTAGTGGTGTGTCATGTTAGCTGACATCTCGCAAAGGATCAGGGTGAGATGTCACAGATTGTTCCTGAATTTCTCTCTCCACCCTAAGTGCCATGTCTAGGTGGTGAGCAGCACTGTAGGAAGTAAAGTGCTCTATTGCCACCACTTCCTAGCATTAAGGACTCCCAAGTTTAAAATGTGCCACAGATCCATCAGGGTGGTTTAGAACTAGGAAATTAAGTATTTTGCTACAGTAGGGTCCAGACTCAGATGCACAGAAGGAAAGTTACAGACTTCTCTCTCTTGTCTCCCTATGCCAAAACCTATTTCCCCTGTAAAACAGGGAGATAAGAGTGTCACACATGCTGTAGAGGCTCACTGCTTCATTCCACGTGATAAATCTCTATGAACTGCAGGACGTGTGGGCTAATGATTCACTTCCATTATTTGTTTGCCAAATAAGTGGGCAAGCATGGATTTGCCTCATATCTTAGCAAAGGAAATAAGGAAGCTACTGAAGCCCTGCCACTGGCTTTGATTCCCACAAAAGGAGAGGGAAGGTACATAAAAAGTTCCATTAATTATGGTGGGTCCCTGTAGGAACTATTCAGTCTTGGAGGAAAATTTTTAGATTTATGGTTTAAGCTTATTTCATTTTCTTTGTGTGTTACAGTGATCTGGTGTAACCCAACATAATTCCTTTCATAAGATTTCTCAGAAGGTACCAAATTAAGATAATCCCATTATTATATTAGAAAAGACTAAAGAATTCTGTGAAGGAAAAGAATAAGTCATTTGGTGCTGAATTTTCTGTTTTTCAGCATAGTTTCAGTTCAGGACTAACCGTAGGGGAAGGCGTGTGTGCCTTCTTTTGGTGATGGAAATAATCTTATTTCTAGCCAGCTTCCAAAAGCTTGTGATCTATGGGAGCAGATTCTGCAGAGCCACCCAACTGACCTCCTAGCCCTCAAATTTTCCCATGACACTTATTTCTACCTGGGATATCAACGTCAGATGCGAGATTCTGTTGCCCGTGTTTATCCTTTTTGGACACCTGATGTTCCACTGAGCAGGTGAGTCATGCTTCATTTGGAAATTGCTCTTTACCTGGTGTGCACGGACTGTGCGGTTTTTAAGTTCAGACTTACAAGTTCAGGATCTTTTGGAAACAAGACATATAGACAAAAATCAAGAGTCTAGAAGTTAATCAAACTTGACCACAGATGGAATGTGTATCCAGTATCCCTCTTGACACTGTTGGTGAGGGATTTTTCTTAAGTGAGCTGTCAAATGTAGCACATGGTGTGTAACACATAGGATAAAATCATGTCCTCACCCAGGGCAGCGGCAAAATTTCTTCATTTCTTCTAAAAAAATACTATTCATCTTGATCCATTAAATAAATCAGGTGCACATAACATCCCTAATTTTTCTTTATTTTTATGGCTTAATGGGGATGATTCACAACCAGTTTTAAAGGGCCACTTCATGTAAAAGTACCCTCCTGTGGTTTTGTGGGCACTGGGGAAAATGCAGATGATTGCCTTTGAGATGCTCAGATAGCTTTGGTGACAGCAGTGTCTCACTTCTAGCCTTTTAATTCTGCATCTTACAACTTTTATGGAGATCAGCAGCTGGTTCTGTGTAGCTGGCGATTCCGTCTCATCCAGAGATGGAAATGTCCATTTTGATGTGCATCTTGTCACTGTTTGCCATACTAGAGTCTCAGGGTCACTAATTTCCTCTGAGAATTAGCTTAGTAGTTCTGTATCCTGTGAGCTTGAGCCCTTGTTGTAAATTGTTCTGCAAGGAATTTTTTGAGTTAAATGCTCTTTCTAGTGTGTTTTTTCAGTTCTGGACTAAACCTTGTTATAAATGGATGATGTGCTCTTTCCCCCCCTTCTGTTAGCTATGTGAAAGGCTACTACGCTTTCGGACTTGTGGAAACAAACCTTTTTGACCGTGCTGAGAAGGTTGCCCATGAGGTAAACTGCCTGCTGTTGGTGCTAAAAGGCTTGAGAATTCTCAGACAGGGTGTTGGTTTCTGCCAGTTGTTAGTCAAAGCAGCAAAGAGATACAGCTCAGCATGGAAATGCTCACAGATCTTTGTGAGACTTGTTGATGACTCTTCTCACATCTCTACCCCACCAAGGCAGTTTCACTAGACTGTATTCCCCTCACTTGCTTATGAGCATGCCCTGTCAGATGGGGTCAGAACACTCCTATAAAATCCATAGATCAGCCCATCTGCTGCTTCCCACATATTTACTCCTATTAAAGAATGTTGGATTGTTTTGACATAGCCTGCTCTTGACAATCAGTCCTGTTTGGCTTCCTGCTCCCTTTTCTTCTAGATCCTTTTTCCTGGGTTATTGAACAATTAACTGTAACAGTGTTCCTGGGGATCAACATTAGCCAACATGTTTCCTTTCTATGAAGATAGTAATTATACATGACTTTCTGCAGTCCTCCAAGAGTCTCAGACACCGTTCATCTCTAATGGATGTTCTTGGCAAAACTTATATTAACATCAAATTGCTGAAAATGACACTAGAGACTAAACCCTAAAACTTAACCTTCACTAGGTTTATGACTAACTTTGCAACATGCCAAAAGCCTGGTGGGAGTTGTTGGGCCAAGGAAGAGGCATTGGCTGAATACTCAGAGCTGGCCATTTTTGGAAAAGAAATAGTTATCTACAAGGCACTATATCATGGAATATATTGTGCCTGTGCCTGCAGTTCTTTCATTGACGCCTGTCTGTGAAATAGATGTCATTTCACAGTCATCATCGAAACCTGTGAAGTGTTTTGCAGGTGTTCATCTCCCTGCAGCAGAAGCTGGGAAGTGAAGTCAGCCAAGAAACATTCTCTTCTGTCCAAATCAGACTTCTGGGCTGTGGTTAGTTGGAGTGGTACAAGATGTACTTAACATGCAGCAAGTAAAAAGTAGTCTCTTGATTCTAGGTAATAAATGTCTGTATTTGCAAGTGTAAGGCTCATTGTGTTTTCCTGCTTTTCACTCACAGGCTTTGGCTATAAATCAGACAGATGCATGGTCTGTCCATACTATAGCTCATGTAAATGAAATGAAAGCAAAGGTGGAGGAAGGCTTAAAATTCATGAAGGAAATGGAAAAGCACTGGAAGGTAAACATTTTTGTGGCATCTCTGAAGAAGCTATTTTTAGGTTTTCTTTAATTCCTGCAGCCAAGTTCTTGAGTCCTCTGCCTGCAGTTGTTTCCTATCTGCAGACCTGTTACAATTAATGCAGAGTTTGCATATTAGAGGAGATCCTCCTTTGAGGTCTTGCTGCTCTCCATGCAGCTTTTAAGCAAGAGGCAGGAAGAAGTGGCATGTTATGAGGGGCATGACTGTCCCTATTTATGGTCTGTTGTGTGGTTATAAAAGTAACCACTGATTCTTTCACAAGCTTTTTACTTAGGCTAATGTACAGACAGTCAGTTGAAGGACCTGGCTAAATATCCTCATGGGACCTAAGATGAGGTGGAAAATGACACAGTCAAATCAACTGTTTCAAAATGCTAAAATACTTGCTTGCTTCTGGACAGGGAGGGGATTTTAAGAACAAAGAAAAGCTAAATTATGCTCTTACATCTTTTCTACTAGTGTGTCAATTACCTTATATATCCAACACATTTGATACCATCTTTCAGAGTATTGTACAGGTTAATTAGTCTGTTATATGGTCCTTTGCTGTAAATTAAGTTTTGTTTTTGATAGCATTTACCCAGTGATTAAGTCTGTTATATTCAGAGCTGAGAGCTGTGAGGTTTGCCTTTGCTAGAACGCACAAGAGTCTATTTTAGAGTAATCTGAGCTGAGCATTCCAACCCACACCAAGAGCAGGACTGGATAGTGAGACTAGAAAGGGTAGTTTTGTGCTTGTTTTATTTTTTAAGTTAAGCATTCAGATACTGGGTTTGCAAGTGCAGACAGAAAACTCTTGCTTGAAGTTCACACCTGTCACTTCCCAGAAAGCATTTTGTCTTTTAATATGTTAGTTTTAATGAAACAGTGATTGACAGTTTGGGTGATACCTTAGAAACCCTAGTCAGTGACTTTTGGATCAATTTTTTTTTAACTCTTTATTCTTAAAATAGTTGCATGTCTCTGTGATTCATACTCTTTATCCAAATAAAATCAAGTGCAAGCCCACTTCTCTCTATCAGTTCAGTCTTTTTCAGAGCTCATATTTAGCAGCAGGGAAACTTTATTTGGACAGGTAATTCCATGATCTTGTTTGTATGACATTTGGAATGGCAGTATGATACTCGATATTATCAGTGTTTATGCCAAGCTTCTGTTGCCTGAGTTTGGTTTGTGATTTAATATTAAACGAGCAAAGATGAATGTTTATCTTAGAGGCCCTGGCATTTTTTGGGAACCTTTACCTTTGTGCTTCCTGAAAGTGGTTGTTACAGTTGTCAGTATGACAATAAAAATGATTTTTCCACTTGTGAGTTCATTAACTATAGAACCAGGAGAGGGGTGAACCTTACTGATATTTTAATTTTCACCGAAGGATTATGGAACTACATTTGTCTGTTTTTAATGCATTCACAAAAATGAACTGCAATTACCTTGAACTGCAAGCTAGGGAAGAGGATTTGAAGTTCTCATGCCAGGTGAAAAGGACAGTGTGAAATTGGTGCAGTTCAGCAAAAATTAATTTCACCTGATGAATTACTAGTGTGTTTGGCACCTATTGCAACTTCTGTAGCCTGTAGTAAAACTTGTTTAAAAAGTGATTCCTCTTTGTCTGAGGTAGGTTCTAGGTGGCTGGGATGAATGGCCCTCATAAAGCCTCCATATCCTCCTCTCTCCACTATCTGGCCAGATTACTTCAGACAAGATGCCTAAATCTTAGATGAGATAAATCTTACTCTCCTTATAGATATGCATGAAATTTCTTTTTTAAAAAGGGTGCTGAAGAAAGGTGAATTCTGAGGCATCCAAGTGAAGCTCTTATCTGGAAAATGATGTGGGGGAAACTTTGGGTTTGAGGTGCTGCCCTGAATAACTGCGAGGACAAGTGTACCAAATGAAAAGGTGTCCTGGCAGCTGATTTAAATTTCTTGTCTTTTTTGTGTCTCATGAAATACTCAGTTTTGCTGCAGGAGGAAACAGAAATCTGACTAGATAACTTGAAAAGGGAAGTTATTTTGTAAATATTTTTTTTTTCTCTCCAGAACAGTGATATGCTTGCTTGCCATAATTACTGGCACTGGGCTTTATACTACATTGAAAAGGTATGAGATATTTTCATGCATATTTTCAGTCCAGAAAGGTTATCTAAAGCTCTTTAAAAGGCAGAACTAACATTTACTTGGCGGGGAGGAGGGGGGTGGTGTCAGAAGGGATATTTTTATAAAATACCACAATTCCATATTTACGAAGTGGCATAGTCCTTTATTACTGTTATTTTGAGAATTTTAATTGCATTGGTCAAGACTTTGGATCTTTCTAAGAATGTTGAAATATTTCTGTGATATTATTGCATGTTTGAAGATCCAGTAGTCTCACTAATTACATTTAGCACAGTTATTTGATAGCAAGATGAACTTAGATCTCTAATTTTGAGACAAAAATTAACAAAATTCTTAGCAAATTCAGTACTCATTTTATGGCCCAAAAATTTGCTGACTATGAAAAAGAGGCCACAAACTCTAAATTGAGTTGCCAATGCTATTAATTATTGCTACTAATTCTTACTATTGAAAGCCTTTAAAAATGGTTGAAATTTTACCCAGCCTGTCAGAATTTTGTTGGGCTTAATGCTTAGCGCTCATGGGGTTCAGCCTAATAGGGAGATAAATGTGGCATCCTTGAGAAGGCAGCATCCTTTGGCCAGAAAGCAGAGTAACACAGAAAGAACATAATTCTCAACAGGAGTCCAATAGTTTATTTATTTTGTCACTGCCTATCTACATAATTTTTCTGAAGGCTACTTAAAACCATTTTTTTCCCATCCCTTTGCATGCTCCATGGGATGCACTGATTTTTGCAGACATCCCTGAAAAGAACATTGGAATGACAGGCAATACCTCTGTGTTTCTCCTTCTTGCTTAACTTGTGCCAGTACTGGTACTTATTCTTAGATGAAACCTCAACATACTGATCATTTTGCCTATTAAATCCAGGTTTTTCTGCTTTGAATACCTCAAGGTTTCTTTGACTTGGTTTGTTTTGATCAGGCAGTCCTGAAGAGCTGTTATGCCATCTGTTAATGTGTTTGTCTCTGGTTGCTGCCAGTCACTGCTGGGTGCTGTGTCTGCACATTAACCACACAGTCTTCCTTTGCTTTTCCAGGGGGAATATGAAGCTGCTTTGACAATTTATGACAAGCATGTGAGTAGGGGCCTTTTTTTTTTTACTGGGATCATGATGTGATGACGACGTGTGCTTTCTTCCTTCTGTGTGACATTGAAACCTATCACAGTGCATGATCTGTGTGTAAATATTGTTTACATCTGTGAACACAGATGTAAACAATATTTACAGTCACAATATCACAGTCTTTTAGGGCAACAACTTTTCAGCAGTTCTGGGGAAAATGCCCCAAGGATTGAGTATTACATAGTTTGAGTCCTTGAAAAAGCTACAGTGTTACTGATTTCCATTCTGTCCATGTTTCTTATTCATACCTTTCAAAGGATGTAAATTAATCAAGTCACCTTTACAAAGAACTGGTTTTTCATGTTAGGTACAAAGTCAACTGCCTGGATTTCAAAAACAGCCTTTGTAAATAAGCAGTATCAATTTAGATAACATAGCACATATTTGTAAGGATTGTAAAAATACCACAAGCATTAAGAAAGCTGCTGGGCAGATTTCTGTCTACTAACATTGATCAAGTGAAGTAATATTTGTGGCAGAATTTTGGAAAAAATAAAATACTCTGGTGACTCCCCCTATTTACTGAGAAAAGCAACACATGTAAATCATTTTAAGTTTCTGTCATCACAAATTCCTTTATTCAAGAAAGATGCAATTAAGACTATTACAAAACAAATAATTTTGAATCAATAGGAGGATAAAATTAATTTAGTACTGTGAAAATAAGTTTAATAAACTGAGGAAGTTTCCACTAGCCCATCACTTGACCAGCCTATGCATACTTGTGATTACAGATTGCTCCCCTGTGCCTGGCAAGTGGAAGCATCCTGGATATAGTTGATAACAGTTCGATGCTGTACAGGCTTCATCTGGAAGGTAGGATATCCTCTGACCTTTCTTTTTTATGACTTCTTCCCTTTCCCTGCCATTCATATTGGGGAAGTATTTCAATATAATTACACAGCAAGCTCGATCAGTGTTTCAGAAGAAACCTGAGAAAAGTATCAATGTGAAGTTCCTAATAATGTACATAAGCTTTATTCTTCCCAAGAGCTTCCATTTTCCATGCCAGTGTGGCATAGCAGTCAGGTCACATCCTTCTTCTCTGACAACTTCACTTCTATTGTTCCTGGAGGTCTGAGGCTGAACAAACAAGTGCATAAGCCTCTAAAAACCCCACAGCACTTTCTGGTTGTAAATTTCCAGTCACATCCTTTTTCTTCTGTTTTGATCCTGATTGAAATAGCTAGTATGGGCGTATCAGCCTCTGGCTTTTTGTACTCCCCTAACTCAGTGGCATTTCCCCTTTTTAAGTCAGTGTTTGTACATTGGGGTTCATGGCAGGGGACATGATGGGCAGACAGTATTTCACACTGTTCTGCTAAAACGCTAATGATGTATTGGGGGTTTTATTAAATCCATCTTCTCTGTCTTGTGATTCCTGCAGATGGCTCATGGTGAACAGCACCTCCAAAACATTATGAGCAATCTCATAATAAAGCCAGAAGCTCACACAATGCAGGCTAAAATAATGCCTTTAAACTCCTGACAGTCAAGAAACTCTTGGCCCACACAAGGCAGGCTGCAGCTGAGCAGCATTATTGCTGCATACATTTTGCTACATCAGGAAATGTACTCTTGAGTTCAGTAGGAATGCTTTTTGATGCTGAGTGTCTGAAAGTAGTTGCAAAGACATCCTTTCACATGTGGCAACGTTATTGAGAGAATTACTTTTTGCTCTTAGGTGTAAAGCTTGGGGACAGGTGGAATGATTTGCTTGGGGTCACGAAGAAGCACGCCAAGGATCACATTCTTCTGTTCAATGATGTGCACTTCTTGATGTCTTTCCTTGGAGCCAAAGACCACAAAACTACTGAGGAGCTTTTAACAACTCTGCAGGAACTTGCCAGGTGAGTGATGGAAGTCCTGCATTGGGTTCAGCGAACAGCCCTCTGAAATTCAGGGCGATGATGTCTCTGGCTTAGCATGTCCCTGGGACACATCTGGTTTAAGCAGGTCAACGTCCAGTTAGGAGATCCATAATATTTATTTGTTGAGTTAATGTCTAGAGGGGTTCCTTGTGTTGTTGAGCAGAAATCTTTTGTGTTTAAGGTCACAGACACCACCTAAGCAGTTGCTGTCTGTTTCCTTTTAGTGGGGTCACACTAAGTTGTGTTACAGACAAGAAGTATATTAATAAGAACATTCCACAAGTTATGTCAGCTGTCTGTGGTGGATCTTTTCTGCTCTAGTTTAAAAGGTTAATAACAGAACATTAGTTGGTAGTGATATTCTAATGGCTACTCTTTGACGTGATTTTAAGTCTATCTACAGGAATTTAGGTTTAAAGTACTTCTAAAGTAATAATCTAGAATATTTAACTTTCAAATGAAGTTATTTGGAAAAGTTGAATATTTAAGTATTACATCCAAACAATGAACATTTTGTGTTCCCTTGTGTATTAAATGACTGTGAATCGCCTTGGTTTTTTTTGAAGGGGTTGATACATAGATGCTTTAAATTCAGTTTCTTCCCTTCACTACACCTTTTTTTAACTCTGTTTAAGCATCTGTTGCTTCCTTTGCCTTTAAAAAGAAGGAAGGAGAACCTGAAATTGTCACTATTTGTTCCTGACTATACGTAGTTTTGAGGAATACTGTAACTTTTAAGAATACTTATCAAAGCAAATAACTTTCAAAGCAAGCCTAAGTATGTCTCATTTAACTATAGTAGAAAACAGCAAATATATTTTGTTATTTATTCTATTATTTATATAAGTATGTCAGGATATATAAAGTATAGAAAACTGTCTGCCACAGAGGCTTTAATGAACATGTGTTCATATGTGCTACTTATTCTTTCACCTAGTGCTTCCTTTCACCTACTTTCAGCCTTAATACATGTGTACATTTTTAGCTGTAGTTTGGAATATTATAAAACTTAATTTCATTATTTGAGAAAGCAGGCTGTGAGTTGAAGGGGCTGTATTAATGATTGGATTAATTTACGTCTATCACAAATATGTAATATATCAATGACACACCAGAGGCGTTTTGTATGTGTTAAGAAAGCAGTGTTACAACCTGGGCACAAACATCTGGCGTTACACCGGTATTTTTCCCTGGCCTTAGCCGTGGAAAGTTGCTGGGAATTTGTCGGGTGTCCCGTGGCGCTCTCTGGTGGCTGGTGTCACGAGCGCCCTTCCATGGAAATGCTGGACAAAACATGTAAATGAGGAATTGTTTCATCCTTTTCATCACTGGCTGCCTCAAGCTACTTCAAATGAACATCTGTTGTGCAGTTTTATCATTCTAGGATGCCATAGTTTGTTTAAGGAATGGTAAACACATAGGGCAGTGTTGCCTACTGGAAAATGAAGGCTGGCCCAGTGAAAGAAACAGGAGGTTTTGTGATGCTGACTTGAGAAGGAACTGCCTTGCAACGTCATGGCTGGGAGCTGTGTGCAAGGACTGGTGGTCACATGTGGCCAGACAAAGGACTAGCAGTAGGATGTTCTGGTGGGGTCAGCAGAAGAGAAACTGCAGTTTTTCTTACTGTCCTAGCCCAAACTGTTTATTGCAGAGCTAGGCGGGGCTGGGCTTGTGCCTTTTGTGGGTATATTCAGGAGGATAAAAACTGACTGCTGGGTGAGTAATGAAAAGGTGAAAGTAGCATAACCATACCAAAAGATATGACCTAAGTCAAGTACCTGAAACATCAGGCTTTGTACAGTTAAAAAAAAACAAACAAACTTGTCTGCAGGCAGGGGCAGACTAGCATTGAAATATGACTATTTATGCTTTGGCTTATGGAAGTAAACCACTTTTTCATTCTACAGAGCTCCTCCTGAAGACCACCAGCTTTCCCTGGCTCCTAGTTTGGGGCTGCCACTGTGCCAGGCTTTTGTAGAGTTTGAAAATGGGAATTGTGACAAAGCTGTAGACCTGCTGTACCCAATCCGTTATGAACTAGTCCAACTGGGAGGCAGTGATGCTCAGGTAAAGGAGATCCAGAAAAGACTTTTTCATGTGATTTAATTCCCTTTCAGTAGCTGCCATGAAGCACTTACCTCATCAACACCACTTCAATGTTAGACAGTGAAAAGTTGAACGGTGTTTGTGACTGAATCCTGTTTGCAAATGCTTACTAGCAGGGTTAGCTATTTATATTTAATGCTGATTTGCTTCCTTCCTGTGAATTTAATAGTTTGGTAACCAAGACATTGTAAATAGCAATACATGATAAATTACTTATTCGTTTGTATTTTGCTGACTTCTTTTCCAGAGAGATGTTTTCAGCCTGTTATTGATTCATGCTGCTTTAAATTCTAAATCAAAGGCCAAACAAAACCTTGCAAGGTAAGTATTTCCCCTGATAAATATTTGTAGAAGTAGCACTGTTGCTAAAAGTAAGAAGTAACAAATACACTCAAAAAGCAAGAAGTAACGAATATATTCAAACCAATAAACTTAAGGCTAAAACTATATGCAACCATTTGTGTTAAATGTAGCAACATTTAAGAAGGATAAAAAGTACAATAGCTTCCAATTCCACAAGTCCACTCTTTTGGCCTGGATGGATGATCTGTGTATGTTCATGGGGAGCTGATTTTCAAATGGTTCTGTCTTCAGATATGGCCTGTTGACCATGTGTGTTATGGACTGCTAAGCCTCTGTGAACTGCTGCAACTCCAGTCAGTGCCACTGCTGACCTCTGCTTTGCTGGGGAGTCAGAGGTGTGCTCTGCCACGTGCCCCTCAGCACAGCCTGTTTGGCAGAACAGTCCATGTTTATCACCTGCTCCTCACCCTCCTACTTCTCCTTTCACAGGTGTCTCCTGCATGAACGTGATCTAATGAGACCCAAGTCACCGATGACTGAGCGACTGATCAGGAAGGCAGCAGCTGTGCATTCCATGGCATAGGCTTTCCTCCAGCTTCAGCTGGAAGAGCCAGGAGCTTTCCACAAAGCCTGGTTGCAGGGAGTGCAGGGGTACTGTGAAGGAATTTGGGGAGGTAATCAAGGTTAAAAGATCTGAGAATAATTTCCTTAAAAGACAGAGGTGTTGCATTTCTGGAGGTTATGTCTTAGATGATTCCACAAGGAAAGAAGAAAACTTGGTGATAATGCAAGAAAAACTTGTTGATAAAGCTTTCTGGAGCATCCCAAAGGCACTGCTGCACTGGTATGTTTTCCTGAGCGTTCCCTCTGACCTTTATTATACACAGTGCAGTAACAGTGCCTGGATTTCAGTCCTTTGGCCCAGTTTGTTACTTGGCCTACACGTGAAGTAAACTGCTAAGGTAATTCAAAGGGAACTTTTAAATAAAGCTAATAGGAAGGTGGAAGGCCAGAGCCAATACAGGCATGAACTGAATTCCATATCGAGCTTCCAGCCCATTCAGGCAGGAGTCACAGATCTGTCTGCATGCATGATTTCTTTCCAGGTGTACGTTTTTAAACTCAGTCTCATAAAATGTTAAATTTTTCCTCTCAATATAGCACATCAGAGCTTTCTGGCATTACAGGGTAAATTAAACCAGACAAGAATAATGACTATTCTGACATGGGTGCTCCCTTTGCACTTTTAGATCTTTTAGAAAAAGGGAAAAGCCTGGATTTCAGCTGAACAATATCATTTCTGAAGGGTTGTTGGACTGGGTCTTTGTGCTTCCCTGAGCTTTTGGATAGTCAGGCCTTACTACCATCTCACTCCAGAGAAGCCCTGCATGCTGGCAAAGTGGGGTTTAAACCAGGGTTCAAGCACACCCTATGGAGAGGTGAAGACCAGAAGGGAGCTTCTGCCATGGGAAAGAGGGTTCAGGGGGACGGACACAGCTCGGCCCCAGCACATGTGATGGGATAAACTTCGGTTCTGCAAGTCAGGCACGATGTGAGCCACGGACCTCAAGGGAGCTCTGGTGCCTCTGGATTCCTGCAGCATCCCAGAGCTAACACATTGTCTTGCAAAAGTATTTCAGAAATCCCTAATCACAGGGAAGATTGTATTTCAGACCAAAATTGAACTCATGCCTCCTCGTCTGGAATGGAAGTCGCACACTCTCCAACAGCCCAAGCTCTGGCTTTGCTTCTACATCTGCAAGCTCTCCTGGCCTCACAGGCCTGCCCTTCCTTCCTGACCAGCTCAGGCTCTTCCCCATGTCCCACAGCAGCCTTGTTCTACAGTTTCCTTTTGACTTAAGAAAGTACTTCCATATCTGGCCCTGCACTGCTCCTGGAGTTCCTGCATCGTGGAACAAGAAGTGGAAGTGCTTTGCTGACATTTTGCTTTACCCAATCCTCCCCTAATGCAGAAATAGCTTATTTTTAAAGGAAGAATAATAAACCCATGTAAGGGATTGCATTCCTTGCCTTCAGGTCTTCTGATTTATGGGCATGCTGTTCTTCAGCAGACAGCTTCTCTGCTCGTGCTGGGGGGATGACATCTGAGACACATTACACTGGATTTTTACACTATTATTTTTAATGAGTGTACTTCAAGCAATGACTTTAGACAGGTAATGTTTTACTCGAGGAATGTAACAAACTGTATAAGGGAACAAAAGCCTGAGAAAGCTCTGCCTGGCTATGCAGGGTGTAATCAATGGAATCAATGACAGCTTACTTCTGATAGCACATGACTGACAATTTTGTCTGCTTTGCCTTAAATTCAAAGATCATCTTGGTTGAGCAAGCAAGTACATGGCTTCTTTGCATGTGTGAAGCTTTTAAATCTGTTATTCAGCCTAATTTCACAGATGTGTAACAGTTCTGGCCACTTTGTTTCCATCACAGTGGCCAGAAGCCTCCAGCAGTGAAGAGCAGCTGTATCTGTACTTGCACTTTAGAAACACCGAAGGAAGACAGGGAATGTAGGAAGGGGCTGGTTCACTCAGCATATTTAGTCTTGCTATGTTTATGTAAAGACAAATTGCACACTGAAAGTGCCTGAAAACAGCTTTTATTTGCAAATACAGCAAGCTCAGTAATTCAGGAATTCTACAAGCAAATAAGAAAAGAAAGGTCTTAAACAGGATTAAAATCTTCTCTGCATGTTTTCATTTCGTTCGAAGTCATTTTAGTAAGCTTTTCTGGATTTATCTTTTACATTCCTCTTGGGAAGAACTTGTTATGTTTGAGTGGTTGACAGATTTCTATCACAGATGCAACAACCATCGAGGCTACAGGTGTTTCTGTAAAGCTTATCTGAAGGTAAAAATTACTGCTTCTCTGTCCTTACTCCCAGTTTCCCCCTGAACAGCTAAACTGCCTGAATATGGCATTTTGTACTGAGGGCCTTAGTTTGATCCACTTACAGACTCCTCGCTAACATCCAGTAGAAACTGCACAGGTTTCTGACCCAGGATCACCCCCCAAAACAAAAAGAGGATCCTCACTTGTCAGCACCCTGCCCCCTGCAAGTGGGCAGCAAAACATGCGGATGGTGCCTTATGACAGCAGTTCTACCACTGGCTTCAAGAGAACCTAACTGGTCTCTTTTGGTTCCATTCTAATCTGGAAAAACGAAAATTATTGCACAAACAGAACATCTCTATGATCCTTAAGAAGTTTCTCATGTCCTGTTGTGCTACGTGGCCACATCCACTGAAAAGCCTGGCTTGTTGGGACACAGCCTTTGTGTACTTACAGACATTAGTTGAAGCCAAACCACCACATTTTGGTATCTGCTTATTCATAGTGGTGGCTTTCACAGCTTCAGCTGAGCTCTGATTTTGTGTAGGTTACAGCAAGCTACTATGTAGGTTAGAGCAAGCTACATTTCCACAAAGAATATGCTCCAACAACTTTCTGATCCATCTGCCATTGTACAGATGAAAATTCTCGAGAACTAACAACATGTATTTAAAATATGCTTTTTCTTTTTCTGCTTATCATTTTAACTCAAAACATGTACCAGCATTAACAAGCAGTGCTTTGAAAACAAACTCATGTCGTCATTACCTACACTGAATTGTTTATAATAACGATAGATGAGAGGATCAAGAACAGATGAATTCTGTACTGAAAAGAGCCTCTGGCTACTAAAAACCTGAAAGCTCCCTTTAAAACTACTGTACTGTTAATTTTTCTTTTAACTGTTTGTGAAGAGAAGTCCTCTCTATTTTTTTTAGACGATGAATTTACAATTATTTGCCCACAGCAGTCATAAAGTTCAATTTCCCATCCCACAATTCTGATTTTTCTGCTATGGTTATAGAAATGTCTGTTTCATTTAAGAGAGGAAGAGAAGAAGATAGGGCAGTCACAACAACTGTAGCACCTGCTTTGCCAGCCCTCCTCAATGCAAAAATTGGAGTAACATTCCAAAGAACTGTATTAAAAAGAAATCACCAAGTAGAAGAACATGTTCAATACGAAAAACAAGATGAGGGACACAAACTGGCACATTCCACTAAGATATAACACATTTTTTTCCCTCCTCTCTAGACACTCTTATTCCTGTTTCTTTCTGCTCTCTTATTCCTGTCTCTCTCTGCTCTCTTATTCCTGTCTCTCTCTGCTCTCTTATTCCCGCCACTTTCTGCTCTCTTATTCTTTCCTCTTTATACTCTATTATGTACTCTGGGTAAATCTGATGCTTTTCAAAGACAACAAAAACAGAAGGATTTAACTCATCATCCACACAGCTGTCATATAACCACAGCTTGTCAGCACACTTCACTGGGGGACGGACATAGGTGGTTTTGCCTTTAACGTAGTCTCCAACCAGAACACGAGCCACGAACATGAAGTGTCCCTGCAGCGTAGCCTGACAGTAGGCATGGGAATAGCAAGCATCTCTAGCAAAGTAACTTCCTAGAAAACAAGATGGAAACATGGTTGTGAGGAAAATCTGTACAGTGACAGCAAAATCTGAGCATGCCCTGGGCTTTCAGGAGATATCTGACTCAACTTTCAGGACTTCTCTTACTCAATTTACAGAATACCACCAAAATTTTTGCAAGAGACGGGATTGCACTATGTAATTTCCATTCACTATCTGCTATTTCAGGAGTAATTTTTTAAAAGGAGTAAATTTTCAAAAGCTGTACCAATAAGCAGTAGTGTGCTTATTGGTCTTATACCAAGGTGTGTGTGTTGTGATGAGAGGGACAGACAAGAAAACATGAGGGCCTTCCATGATCACACTGAGGGCATACATACCCCTCTGCTCCCTGCCACACAAACTGATTTGTAAATTCAAATTATGACTTCAGACATCAGAAAATGCCACCTACAGCAAACCTGTGCACTAATGCTCTTGATACCTTGTGAGAAGACTTACCCCTAACCCCAAGCAAATCCTGGTCCTCTCCAGAAGGAGCGTAATACCAATTATTATCTTTTTTCTTTTCCTTCTATAGTTAAAGACTTCAGAACCTTTGACTGCTGCACTATCAGGGGAGTCTCAGCAGACATCTCACTTTCTACATACCCTTCCCATAGTTAGTTCCATTGCTTCCACAAATTCTCCAGTCAAAGTTCAGATTGCAGATGGTTTCCATGGAGGTGACGTCAGTTCCGTGGAACAGGCGTTTTTCCTGAACTTCCTTTCCTCCTTTTTCCCTTTTCATCTTCTCTTTTTGCCTGATAAAAATGAAGTGGAGGAGAATGTGAGCCATAGAAAAAAAGGGATAGTGGAAGATGTCCCTGTCCATGGCAGATTAGATGAGCTTTAAGGTATCTTCCAACCCAAATTACTCCATCATGCTCTGGACTTGGCAATGTTAAACTCTGCCTGCTTAGCTTAATTACTTCATTGGAGCAGGATAAAAAATACGCACTATTGCATGTTTTGAAGTCTCTTATGTTCTGCTAGATTAAAAGGTTTTATGAATCAGTAGCTGATAACTTTCTGGGTTCCATCCTTTTGCAGGTGAAAGCATTTATTTGAGCAGTATTTTTATAACTCCACTACCATTCCATACAGTCTTGTTTTGAACTAGACAACTGTTCTAAGTAACAGCTTAATCCTACATCAAACTAACTTGAACATGGTTCAACCCCAGCTCTAATCTGCTGGTGTCTAGCTTGGCCTAAGTACCTACAATTCAGTATCACTGATGGAGATGTTGAAGACTAAAAGGAGCTCTGGAATTCAGAGATCATCAAGTTAAAACACAAGGATTCTTCCTCAGTGAATACTGATTTTGTTCAGCAAAATCTGACTGGAACAAAAAGGCCCAAGCAGCCTTTATTCTTTTTAGTATTTTGTATTCTCTAATGGACAAAGATTTGTAACAGACAGAGCATGTGTGCAGCAGGCAGTTACTGCTCCATCCCTGAGACAATCACTGTTCAACATCCCTGTGGGTATCCTCATCCCAGTTGTGCATGATGGATGTCTTTCTCTCCATGCTCCTCTCCCTTTCTTCCAAGGAGCCATGCAAAGGGAACCTCCCCAGCAGAGCATGGCATTCTGTGGAAGGCCTCAGACAGCAATTTCACTCCTGAAATTGCTAATAACAAAATACCAGTCATGTTAAGGCATGGGTGGCAACCTCCTTTCTTTCCTAGAAAGCACATACGGGACATCTTGTTCTTGGAGACTGCCTCCTCATAGGGACAGGGAAACAAGTACTAACCACTGAAACACCTTCCAGAGGGATGGATTCTGAATCCTCTGTATTTTATGGATGCTGTAATTTTTCATAGTCTGATGAAACAGCTGCTTTATTTCGTTGTATTCAGAGGTTGCATTGCTGATCACCACTGCCTATAAAATACAAACCAAAGCAAAAAAAGGCATGAGGCTGCAGTGAGCTTGGAACATGCAGAAGCCTAATTCCAGCAGATACACTTTCAGAAGTCCCCAAACTATGCTTATGAAAGGTAATTAAATGCTATAGATCATGATTATGTGAATAACCAAATACCAAGTAAATCCTGCTTTGCAAAGATACCTCACCTCTCTTCAGGAAGAATGCTGAAAGGTTTATCATCTCCAAGACACTTGCAAATTTAAATCTCAATGGAACAGAAATTGCAAAAAGAAAACTTCACAGATTATTTCAGAGAGTGTCAGTTTTATATCTAAAGGTGATTAAGAACAAAAGATCTTAGATAACAGCATCATTTGTAACTAGACATTTATGGGAACTTCAGCTATTAAAGATGAAACAAACAAAACATAAATACCCTCCTGGCACTGTAGTACCTTACCTTTTCAAAGTTAGAACTTTGAAAGCTTCACTTTAATACAGACTTCTGAAAAGACCCCCACATTTCTAAGTAAATGTGACACCGGATACCTGCTTAAACAAATATATGTCCTTTCCCAAAGAAAACAAAGTCTATTTAGCCATTATCCTTTTATTTAAGTATACATTTTGCATTTAAAAAGCCATTAAGAAATGCTCATTTTTCCCCAAGATAATTTAATGCAAAACATAATTAAAACATTACTTGAGCTCTTCTGCTTCTATATGTCATGCATGAATTTTCCATTTATTCTCCAAAGTAACTCATGTCTTTTATCTTCTAGAATCAACATTTATCTCCGTAAACTGCAAACGTGTGATGCTGGCAGGCTGATGTCACCTGGTAATACTTTCCACTTAAGCCAAGTGTGGACTCAAGATTACAAAGTGAGATCCCAACATCCCACATTCCAAAGTGTTTTAAGCAGGAAAGCTGTGGCCATCCTAAATGGTAACAAGGAAACTAACATCTTATCCTACCAGGCAAAAATTCCCCGTTTTAGAAGGCTGAGCTTATAGAGAAAATAAAGTAGAATAAAACTTGTGTTTCACAGATACATTTAAGTACTTATTTATGAGGAGATCTCTCGCAGGGAAGTGTTCTAAAGATTACAAGAAAGAACTATTTTTTTGAATTTATTAAAAAGCCTTTAAAATGTTGAGTGAGATCTCCCATGTCTCAATACAGGAGCATTTTCCAAAGCTTACAGCACAACACATGTGCTGTACTGATTGTCTGCACAGTCTGTGGCACAACAGCCCAAGTTGCTCACCATTACCGACACGATGAAAATCATGTCACTGTATTTCAGTACTTCATATTTTATTTTGAATCACAGAATGGTTTGGGTTGGAAGGGACCTTAAAGCCCATCCAGTGCCACCCCCTGCCACAGGCAGGGACAGCTTCCACTATGCCAGGTTGCTCCAAGCCCCATTTAACTTGGCCTTGGACACTTTGAGGGATGGGGCAGCCACAGGGCACAGCCACTGTGCCAGGGCCTCCCCAGCCTCACAGGGAAAAATTTCTTCCTAATACCCAGTCTAAACTGAAGCCATCCCCCCTTGTCTTGTCACTCAAGGCCCTTGTAAATTATCAGCTCAGCACAAAGGGGATTCAGGGGCAGGGTATGTCCAGCTATCACCACTAGCACCCCCAAATCCTTCTCCCAGGGCTGCTCCATCTGCTTATCTCTAGCCTGAACTGACCCCAGGGGTTGTCCTGGCTCAGATGCAGCACCAGTACTTGTTGAACCTCATGGGATTCCCATGGACCACACCTTGAGTTTGTCCATATCTTTTTGGATGGCCCTGTCCTTCAGGTATGTCACCTACCGTGTTCAAAACTTGGTGTCATCTGCAAATTTATTTATACATGAACAATTCTCACTTAAACTACAAATGTACTTTTGCTCTGCTGTATCCTTCAGGCTTATGGTGTGATTCTTGGGGTGTCCTGTGCAGGGCCAGGTGTTGGACTTGATGATCCCAATGGATCCCTTCCAACTCAGCCTATTCTATGATTCTATGACCTCTACCTGAGGAATTGAAACCTTACTAGGTAAAAGAGAGGGTCAGCCAAGTTACACAAGGCCTAATCCTGTAAGAAAGGTACTATGATTATATGTATCATATATCATATGATGGCCTCCTGACAACAAAGCTGTTCTCCTGTCCATGAAAACTTGTGGGTTTTTCCTTATTTCCCCAAGGATGCTTCTAATGCTAATGAAGGATCACAGCATAACATTGCTTTCGAAGGCTGATGTGGCATAACTACGCAACTTCTTCAGCATTTTTCACCTTCAGGCCTGAAAAGGAAATCCCACTGAGTGTAAGCATTTGCTACCCTGTTATCAAGGAGCAGAGTTCCTAAGGCAGAGAAGGAATCACTGCTCTGGCAGCAATTCCCATCAGTGTTTGACTGCACAAGAGCAGTACTCTGTGGCTCACACCCTGAGCTCTGCTTCACTGGGGTGTTGGAAGGAGCAGGGTTGGTACTGGTGGCAGTGACCCCACCAGAACTGACATCTACAAAATGGACAGACACTCTTCACATTGCATCCTGTGCCTGGTACAGTGTAGCAATCCTCGGGCTGTGTGTGGCCAGGATTCAGCAGGACATCAGCCACACAAAGACTGACACGAAACCACATATCCATTGCATGCTTTTCTCAGTTGTACAACAAGGAGACAATTTTAAACCCAGCAAGAAGTTTCAGAATATAATAAATTCTTTTTTTTTTCCTTTAAAATATTTAACAACTACTAAAATTCCGTTTTGTTAAAACAAAGACAGGAGAAATTCACACCAACTTTCCAATCAGTGTTACCAATTTCCATTGTGCATTTTATACACTTCTTTCTACAGAACTGTTCTCAATGACTTACAGATTAAGACATGGCAATACTCAAAAAATAAGCAATGTTACCAAAACAGTTTCTCATTTTAAGCCAAGAAGCCTTTCTGCCTATCTCACAGGTTCCTTTTTAAAATGGATCACTTCCAGCACAGCAGATTTTGCCAGGATTATTTGTCAATGTCTGAAGAGAAGGCAGTTCATCAAGTTGTAGCTGTCAGCTCTTAAAATGGTCACGACAAGCATGCAGAATCCCAGCCACTCCCAGTATTACCTACTGCAAAAAAACAAGCTTAGTGTCCCACAGAAAAATTTAATCTAGCCCAGGCTTTCACTTTTAGTGCCAACAAGTATGATGGGCATTGTCACTATTCCTTTCCTGTAAAAGGCACTCACAAGTTAAGAGATATTTTCTTAGGTGCCAACTGAGCTCCTTCTACTCACACATCCCCACATGTACAACCAAAAAGTACTATGGATCTGTGCAGTGCATTCCAAAGCCTCCCACATTCACTCCAGTGACTCCAGAAACACTCCAACAAATGTACTCAACTAAAATTCAGACAAGTTTTCAGAGCAAGTATGGGAAGCAATTAAGTACATACAACAGCTCAAGAGACCTGAAAGAACAGAGCTACCTGTCTTTCTGGCATTCTTTAGAGAAATTTATGCTTGTTAGTGAAGATGCTGATAAGCCAAGGGAAGAGCATATTCCTTTGTTACTTCCACTGGGCTCCAAATATCACAGGCAAATCTTCAAATGGGCTGCCTGCCAAATTCCCCACACTCTCATTATTATCTCATCTGTTCTTTATGAAAGTCATGACTCAACAGGCAGTTGAGTCTGCAGCAGTTTTGTCTGACCCTGTCCTCTATGCAGGAAATAATCAAGTCCACTTTGCCATCAAATCTCGTTAAACCACTGTCTCCTTCAACTATCAAATTTTGTTAAACAGTGATTTTCTATCAACATAGTGCTCCTTCTCTCTTTTAAGTGAAGTGCTTTATTACACCCTTGGCACTGACACACAGCCACACACTGGTGTTCCTCATCCCACAGGGTATCTGTGCCAACACAACCTGGTCAGCATCACACAAGATTCTGTGACACAGTCAAGAAGGAAAACCTCTCCTTAAGCAGGGTCAAAACCACTACACAAAGGGCATGTGTAACATGAAAAAGCCTTTTTTTCTAGAGTCCTATAGTACTTCCACAAACTGTGCTGCTCTTCCAGAAGGTCTGCAGGAAGTACCTAGTAATCCAAAAAACACCCACACATTTTGGTCTTGGTAAACCAAATAAGAACATAGACTTTGGGCTGACAAGGGTTGGGTTTGTTTTGTGGAAGACATCACTGCAATGTTTTGTTTTTTTTTTTTATGGTTGTAGATCTTCATTTTTGCCATTTCTTGAGTTGAAGGTCTGCGCTCAGATCCATGATGTATGTGACAGTACTGGAGGATAGAGAGATTTCCTTTCCTGGATCTCCAATCCAAATTTGCTCCTCCTGTCTTGAACTTGGTGAGTTTTGGGTTTGTTTTTGTTTGGAGTTTTCAGTTTTTGGTTTGGTGAGTTTTTGGTATGTAGATAAATGCCTAAAATGCAGTTAAGTTCAAGGCAATTTGGCACCTGTTTCATGAGCCCTAGATCTTTAGCACGCCCACCCAAGAAATTACTCCTGTCTCTTTTTAGCATCCACACAGTTACAGTTGATTCAGTTAAGCTCTGAACTGTGCCTTTCCATCAGAATTACAAGAAGGGGGAAAAAAAAGATACCTTGTATCCCAAGTCAGGCAGTGCAGATGCATCCCAGTGACTAGGACAGGTCTGATTTGGAATAGAAGAATCCCTTTGGCTGCTTGCAAACAGACAGAAAATGAAGTGTTAGGAATTCTAGTACTGCTTCAAACACTCAGATTTGGAGCATCCCCTTTGGCCAATTCCTGTATTTAAAAATTAACAAAATAAGCCACAAAGAAACTGGGAAATAGCCTCAGTATGTAGGCTGGGCTCTGCATGCTGCCACTCAACCATCACAATGCAAAAATCTTGCATTGCTTTTTTAATTAACAGCTGTGGCTGGAGTAACATGGATCCCAAGCAGCAGGTGAGGCACCAAGACTGCAGTTTGTGATACAACTTTTGTTTTGCAGTCCATGGGTAGGTTTTCTCCAGCAGCAATGTCTGAAGAGAAGGCAACTGCTGCCAACACTGGGACCCATTTTGCCTTGTGATTACTTCTAAAATATGAAAAATCAACCTAAACAGCACTTACCCTGTCTTTATCTTCTGTACATCTTCAGAAGACACGAATTTTGGTCGCCTGCAAACCTGTCTTTGAGTTTTAAAACTAGTGTTTGTCTGAGTCATTTCTTGAGGAGAAAAAAGAGAACAAAAAAGAAGTCATTAAATAAGTCTACAAGACAGGGTCATCCTGTCCTCATCAGGCATTCTTTAATGCCAACTGCATAGTCACTATCAATTCTACCTGCTGACGAGTAGTTGCACAAAGGCTGTATAAGCTTGCTATAACTCTGTGATTGAACCTGTGCCTATCCTGCCTGCTCCCTCAAGCCACCACTCGTGCTCTTGAAACATTGTTACAGCAGCATAAAGATGCCTAACTTGTATTTTTTACCATCCACAGTGTTAACTTACTTTCCATAAAGTTTACTATGACTTTATGTGAAGACTATGAACCTTTATATTTCTCCTCAGATGTGAGTCTGGAGAGTGTCAAGGAATAATGGGGGAAGATTACTTTTGTAAGGAATTTGCTCTGAGCCACAACTACCTCACTTGCAGTAAGTGAAACTGGTGGTGTCAGGAAAGAAAATCATACTTTCTGAAAACTGAGACTTTGAAATAGTCTATAAAGCACTGCATAGTTGTAGATGAGAACCTTTAAAATTACTACCTTTAAAATTGAGTTCATACTGATGTTGGCCAGCCTGGAAAGCTACAGTGACACCTGGATCTGCTTGATACAAATTCTCAATAACAGCAGAAGATGGTGAGGTCGTGCTGTTCCCTTCTTCCTTTGTGGAGAGAATAGAAAAAAATAAAGAGAATGAAAAGTATCACAGTCAGGACTAAACCCTGGATAACTAGCTGGGGTAGAGGGAAAGAAGAGACCAAGTCTAGGATGACAAGGAATCTACCCAGAACTATGGTGGCCTGAGGCTGAGTACTGAATATTTGTAACATAAACACAAATATGTAATTAGTAAATTTAAATTCCTGTAAAGAGTTGTGCTGGTTCTGGCTGGGGTAGAGTTAAATTTCCTCCCAGTAGCTGGTAGTGGCTGTGTTTTGGATTTGTGCTAGAACAGGGCTGATAACACAGGGATATTTTAGTGATTATTTAGTTTAGGCATGCACAGAGCCAAGGCTTTTTCTGCTCCTCTCCCACCCCACCAGTGACAGGCCTGGGGTGGATATACATCCAGGAGGATACATATCCAGGAGAGCTGACCCCAACTGGCCACAGGGACATCCTGGACCTAAGCTGTCACTCCTGTATACAAAGCAGGGGGGAGGAGAAGGAGGGGATATTTGGGGGGATGGTGTTTGTTTTCCCAAGAGAATAAACTCTCCCAAGCTGTGATGGAGCCCAGCTTTCCTGGGATGGCTGAGCACCTGCCTGTCCAAGGGAAGAGGGCAATGAATGCCTTGTTTTGCCTTGCTTGTGCACACACTGTTGCTTTATCTTTTAGTCTTTATCTCATCCCATCTGTTTTCTCACTCTCTGCCCAGTTCCACTGCAGGGGAGGGGGCAAGAGCTGCAACAGGCTGTAATGGTACACTCGACTCCTTACCAAACCGGAGTTAGTTTGGTTCAGGCTCCAAAGGAAGCAAAGGCCTACGTCAAGAACTTTTCTAGTTCCAGCCTGCTATCTGAAAACCCACAAAGGAACAGGGTGACATGGTGAGCACTGATGCATGTGAGCTTGGAAACTAATCACGGATTATGTGATTAATGTATGAATAGCAGGTAGTTCTTCCAAGACTAATTTGCCATGGAAAAAAAAAAAAAAAGTTGCACTTTGCTTGTGATTTAACTATGAGCCAACCACTTCATTCCACAGATAGGAAAGCCTGAGTGAGCTCCTTGCAAGCTCTGCCTGCTAAAGAGCAGCTGGACAGCTGTGATCTCTCCTGGACCTGGCTGATTCTTGGAGGTTGAGTATTCTTGAGGTTACTCTGAGTCTTTTAAACTGCACTCTATCCAGCACCTTTCTCTGTGTACTTTTCCAAGTCCCTGGATCACCTTTGTGTTCTAATATTTGTGCTGCTGTACTGTGAACCATATTGGATAAACTCATCTGCCTTGGGGGAAGGTGAGATTCTATAGTTATTTCTTTTCCTGCATTTTTAAGGTAGATCACTTCCTCATCAGAGGACTTGGACATACATGGAAAAAGACTGCATTTGATGTGACAGAGCACAGCAATCCTTGCATGTCCAAGGAAGCAGGGCAATGCTTAGAAAAGAGGCAACTTCTTCCCATGTATCTTAAGAGCAGTGTCTATATGTTAAATATCTGTAGGAGCCATGGACAACTCCAAAAGGGGGCTCTCTTTCCTCCAGCCTGTCAGTGTTTTATCACATGTGTTATGAACAAATGTAGCTTCACTGCCTTACACAATGCTGTAAAATTCAAGCACAAGGACTCAATTAATTAATCCTGTTGAGAAAGGGGAAATTATGTAGAGAGACTCCACATATTCCTGCAGAAGTGACTCAAAGCACAGGATGTGGAATCACCTGTTCTCCATATTCAATCCACTTGTCTTGGTTATTCTTCCAGTACCAAATCCACTCTGTGGTCAGTAGGAATGTGGGTTTTAGGACTGATGATGGTGTAGAGAGGCGTCGAACCAAAGAAGAACAGCAGGTCATTGTCTGGAAATTAATGTTCCTACTTGGCAAGCTGTAAGGACAAATTCAGGTTTATTATAGTTAGCAGTGCATTTTTTACCCTCTCATCCCTGGTTTAAGCTGGTGCCATTTTCTTTAATATAAAGTAACCAAACTCAATTAGAGCTGAAATAGGAGTATTTATTTCCTACAGCACATGACAGCTCTGAAAGCCATTTCCAAGCTGCAACAGTGATCTCTGGCCTGTGAGACACCTCAGTCACATGTGGCACTGCCAGCTTTACAGGCAAGGCTCCAAGTACAGTGTGGCAAAAGGAACTCCTGTGATAGCTCGGTGTGGTTACAGTCTTTCTCAGTACAAAGGCAGAATGTGCCAAGTGTGTGACTGAATCTGCCAGCAAACACCTGCAGCCTATCAACTTTGTTATTTTCTGTGGTTACAAAGGACGCAATCACAGCAACCACAGCTGTGGGTCTGCAAACTGCATTCATTGCTGAAGCCACCTGGGCTCTTACCGTGCAAGGCTTTAAAAGCAAACTCCCAGGCAGGAAGACTTTGATGGCAGCCTTCTCTTGGGAATGTTGCTTGTGATCTCCAGAATACTGCCAATCAAAATAATCTGGTGCCTTCAGAGGCATGGGCCAAAACTAGAATACCATTTTGTGAAGCCAGACTTGGGGTGCCCTATGAATCCATGTAGCTTTGAGTGGGACCTTTTAGAAAGGAGTTAAAAGGAAAATCTCTTGAAATAGAAATGAAGAAGAAGAAAAAATAGATGGGCTGCTTACACGAAGGACATTTCATAAAACGTCTCCAGGTATGTAATAGATTACTATTATTATTATTACAGATACTAGCTGTAGTAGAAAAGAAAGTTATAGAGAAGGACCAGCTCTGAAATGTTGTCAAAAGGCCCAACTTCATTACTGTAAAAAAACTGATTAATGATCTGAAATACTAGTATTTTAAACACTGGCTTTTTACCTTGTACAGAATTTTACATGCAAGATATAGTTTTGTTATTTTTAGAAGACAAAACTGGAGTGGGATTTTCATGCAAACATTCTTTGCTTTTTTAAAAGGAAAAATTCTTATTTTTACATCCTGCCAACTTCTAAGAGGCTCAGTAAACAGAAGCTGAGAAGTCAGATATCTTTAGGAAAAAAGCACAACTTTTCCTACACAGGGTCAATCACAATACTCCAAGTGAGGAGCCCAGCATTACTACACCTGCTGTTCTTTGGGTCACAATAGGCCTTTTCAATTTCCTCCATCATGGGAAGTTCACGCCAGTTCAACCCATCACGTATCTCCCATTTATATGGCAAATGGTAATGAACAGATTCACATTTATCTGTAATGAAATCAGACATAGTCAAGAATTCTGCAGTCATTAACAAAGAGAGCAAGACAAGAAAAAACCAAAATAAAACCAGTATCTTTTATACTTTGAGGCTTTTTCTCCTGGGCTTTGGTATAAGTAGTGAGGACAGAGTGCTGAAAACAAAAATGTAGTGTGTTTCTGCAGTCTTATTAAGAAAAGCAACGTATATGTGTACTTATATATATATATATACACACACTGCCAAATATATTTGAAAGACACCTGTAGTGGTTTTGGTTCACTAATTTGAATTTTTTTTTGGTTAATATACTAATTAGTGTGGTGGGTTTAGTGTTGGTTAATTACTAGTGCACTTACTAGAATGTATTTATTTTTTGTTGTGAGATACAATTAGGAGAAAAGTAAAATAGGCTCAAAATTTTAAAAGGGTATAAAGAAAAATTTATTAATAGTAACTAAAAGAAAGAGTAATAAGAATCAAAACACAATTTTTAGGATGCTTTTCTTCCCTTTACAACTTTTTTTTCCCATTGATAATTAAAGTGAGAAAACCTAAAATTTTTAGTTAGTTTACTACTTCTAAAATAGTCTTTCTTTAGTTTACTTAGGGAGAAAAGTCCTTCTTGTTAATGTTATGGAGACTTCTCTACAAGCTAATATTTCTCTCATAGCTCTTGATTTCTAAGAGTTGCATCTGTTTGGGGAAATTTGTAATCATGAAATATTTCTGATTTTCTTTAAGTTTTTCTCATATTGTATTTATGGACCATGTCAAGTTATGGGGTACTGGTTTAAAAATGAGTTGTTTAAAAGCAAAAGTTCTTAATATCTATCCCTGAAATTATCTTTATCTCTAGGAATAGAGATATTTTCTTTCTTTAGGGTATAGGATCTTTATCACTTGTCTCTCTTTTTCTGTTCAAATTTCTTATAGGATTATAGCTACTTTAACATCTGTTTACTTTAGTACGGAGGTTTTTGCTCAATATCTACAATTTGGACACTTTCATTTCCTCATACTTTTAAGTGTTATAGGAAAAAAAGATAGGCCTTCTCTACAGTTTTGCAAGAGAATTTTAGCCTAAAACTAAAGGCATTTCTTCATCTTTCTTATTTGGGACCTGACTTCTTCATTGACTTGAGTTTGGTGTTTGCATGTTGTTTCTTTATGTGTCTGTACTTCTGTCTTGCTCTCTCACTCGAGGGAGGATTGAAGTATTGGAAGAGTTAATATTTTTCCCGGGGCCTGTGGATGGTTATGTGACCTGGGCTCAGGAGCTTGTGGCAGAAGTGAGGCGTGTTGGGGAAGTGATTAGGATTTCAGCAGCCAGTACAGCGATGGCTTCTGCTCTGCCCCTGCCTGGTAGCCTTGGGTGGGGCCACCTGGCCACTGTTACCTCTTTGCCAGCCAGAAGGGAAAAAGAGAAAGTTTCCCAGTTTTTTCATCTTTAACATGTGTTTTTTCACAGAGGCATGTGTAGCTTTCCAGTGGTTTAACTGATTGTCAATTCCCAAAGCTAGCCACTGATTGGTTTCCTATCAGACAGGGAGGAAATTGCCAGCAGCCTCTCCTAAAACATCACTTCTGTGATGCAAAACTAGTGCATTACCAGAACCTTCCCTTTGCTGAGACACAGTGCTGGCAGCTGGGAGAGCAGTGCCACAGACAGGAAGTGCATGTTATGTGTCACACAACCATGTGTCTCAGCTGTAAAGTCTAGTCTACACATCCCATAAACACTCTGGTATGTTTGGTTGTCTTTTCCTTAGTCCCTTAGAAATCATGGGGTGGTTGCCAAGGCCTGAATGGTTTTTTTCTGACTGACACTCCACATCCAAGTATGGATCAAACATCTAACGACTTAGTCCAATGTAGCAAACAAAGCACACTGACACTCCAACAGTTACTTGAATTTAGTTATCTGGTAGTCACAGTAAGCTGCTTTGAGCCCGACCTTTACAGTTTCACACAGGTGAAACTGTTCACATTACACAGGGTCTTTTGTCAAGACCAAGTAGTCAGAGGAGTAGCAGTCCTTTACAAACTGACTGGACAAGATCAGGGAAAGTAAATGTCACGGTACCTCCTCATAATAAAGGAAGAGCCAAACCTGGGAGTTAAATGACTGTTCAGGACAACTCCCAAATACAATTACTTATATTCTTCCCTCAGACCTCTGTTCTGGCCTTTACCAAAAAGACAATGGACTAGATTTATCTTAGCTGGTACAACTACTGTGGCTTTTTAAAGATGCTCTTGACACCTCAGATCACTTTTTAAATGACTTAATTAGGGAGAATATGGCTATTATCTGATGTACATAGGATATATAAGTAGGAATAAAGGGTGCCATACATTTATGAGTTGTCAATAATGGCAACATAAATCCAGTAACTTGATCTTCTAGCAACAAGGGTGACACTTCACTTAAAGGGTTTTGCCACAGAAACATACCCAAAGCCTGTCCCCATCAAAAGGGCTGAAATAAACTGGATTATCCAGAGGATAAAGGGTTTAAGTATACCATTTGGCTTTTTTGCTTATTATGTTTGTAATTCTGACAGTATTTATTAATAACTTGGAAAGAAAAGAAACTACTGAGGAGGCACAATTGTCACCACTAGCCCCAGCCACTGAGCAGGAGTGCCTTTGCAGACAAGTCTTCAACATTACTTTTCATAAAGCTTACCCTTATTTTTGCAGTACTTCCAGACATAGAACAAACAGATCTCATCACAGTTATCTGTTTTGTTGTCCTTTGAAGCTTCATCAGAGGAGCTGTCCTTTTTACCTACACAAAAGAACATCACAGTCCTTATTTCCTTTAAGAGAAAGATCCTGCATTTGGTACTTCATCCCAGAAATAACAAGGATTTGACTGCAGTAGCAAAGTCAAGCACTTTAAGGATCTGGCTATCTTCCATACAGCCCAACACAGAAGTCAGGGCTTTGTGACTGACCCTTGACACTGGAAGGAGTCTCAGTGAGGAAGGGCAAGGGCAGTGTCAGGAAGCTCAGAACGACACAGGGTGTGACTGACCATGGTTCTTGCAAAGAAGCTGACTTTGTCTCCAAACCAAGGGGACCAGAGGGTGCATAAAAAAGCAATGGCAGCTGAGCAGACTGGAAGCAGAAATGCTTCTGAGTCAGCCAGACCAGCATGGGGGTAGTGAACATAGAGCTCAGCCCCACGCAGAGGTATTAAACCTGAACAACCAACCAAAGACTTTTAGAAACAGCAACTGGCTTGAGCTGGCTTCAATTTCCCCAGGGACTGGGGACACCCAGTGAGTATATATTGAGACAGATCTGCAATGGGAATCTCATTATTACTGTGATTGAACTGTGTGCTGTAATTGCTATATTGTAGAAGTCAACATTGGTATTTTGTTTCCAGTGGACTTTGCATCACTTTGCTACATCAGAAATGTCACTGTACTGGGCATGGGTAGAATAAGATGTAATTTTCTTCACAGCAACCAGTATGATGCTGTTTTAGATTTTTGACCAAAACAATGCTGTTAACACACTCATGCCCCAGCTTCTGCTCAACAGTGATATGCATCAAGGCCTCAGTTTTTCACCCTGCCCCCAGAGTGAATAGAACTAGGGCTTCACATTAGCTTGGGAGGGGATACAAGTGGGCAAAGGACACAAACCTACCAAACATCTATACCGTATAACATAAAGCTCAGTAATAAAAGGGAGAAGAGGAAGTTTTAGGAGGGTTAGCTACCTTTTGCTTGGAAACTGGCTAGGCATCAGTCTGCATGTGGGAGCCAGTGAATGACTGCCTCCGTATCACTTTTTTTGCTTGGTTTTCCTCTTCCACTTATTATGTGGGGGATTTTTCCTTTCCCCATCTTGACCCTCAAGTTTTTTTACCTTTACTATTTCTTTTCTCTTCCCTCTGGGGATCAGGGGAGAGTGAGCAAGTGGCTGTGTGATGCTCACTGAGCCACAACATCTGTGTGACATCAACTCTCTTTAGATAAGTTCATCTCAAGACTGGAGGGTTGGAATTCATACCTTTATTTTTATTTCCCACTCCTGTTGGCAATTGGTCTTGGCTGTGAGCAGGTACAGTGCTACTGGGAATCTCCATCGAGACAACAGCTCTACTATCAAAGCCATTTTCTTTGCCTAGAAACAGTAGACAAGGTTCACAGGTACAATTCTGTCACAGATATAATTCTGTCACCTTCCTAGGGAAAGAGGAATGTGTCCAGGACTGTACAGAGTGCTGCACAATGCTTGAGCAGAAATTCCAAAAGTGCTCTGCTGGCCATCTGGTACCATGGATTTTACGGCACACACATAAGCTGCACTCAACTACCAACGGGGCTGTCTGAAATCAAGGCCCAATGAAAACCCCTGGAAACAATCCATACCTTTATCTTTATCTCTCATTCCTGTTGGCAACAGGTCTTGGCTCTGGGCAGGTACGGTGCTACTGGGACCTGTGTGAGAAGACTGAATGAGAAGCACTGCTGGGCCACAAGCTCAGCTAGCTGGCAATATCCCAGTCTCTGTGGAGAATTGTGTCCATCACATGTGTAATTTGAGATTACACATTACACCATCCATGTGTGGATATCTAAAAGCACCTGTCCAAAGAATACTGGACTCTGACAAGCTTTAAAGCCCAGGTCATTCTGCCCAGAAGAACAAGAGATTTACAAGTTGCTATTCACTCACTGGAATGTATAATGAGACAACAGCTCTACCGACAAAGCTGTATTAATTCCCTACAGACAGAAGGCAAGTGAAGATAGTGCATGCACAGATGCAATTCTATCATCTTGCTAGGAAGGAAAAAATGTGTCCAGGACTGTACAGAGTGCTGCACAATGCTTGGGCAGAAACTCCAAATGCTCTGCTGGCCATCTGGTACCGTGGATTTCAGCACACAGTACAGCACACACGTAAGCTGCACTCAACTACCAATGGAGCTGTCAGGCTGTCTGAAATCAAGGCCCAATGAAAACCACTGGTCTCAAGACTGGAGGGTGTGAAAAAATCCATACCTTTATCTTTATCTCTTGTTCCTGTTGGCAACAGGTCTTGGCTCTGGGCAGGTACGGTGCTACTGGGACCTGTGTGAGAAGACTGAATGAGAAGCACTGCTGGGCCACAAGCTCAGCTAGCTGGCAATATCCCAGTCTGTGGCAAATTATCCATCACATGTGTAATTTTCCACTAGCACCCCACTGTTGCTGATACAACAGAGGTGCAATTACAGTTACAAACCCTAGCTAGTCAGAGTTGCTGCCAGCCACTCAAATACTGTTTTGAATGCAGTACTTAAGGCAATAAAACTGCAATTCTCCCTCCCACATGACAGTGCCATGACTTACTCCATTCTTGCAAGTGCATAAAAGCAGAGAGGGGAAAAATGTGTATATATTGCAAGAAGAGAAATTCAAAAGCTGATTCCACAAGGAAACAGTTGGTACTATTATCTAGGCGTTTACCTTCTGAAGGTGGGACATCCAGCATGCATTGCACTGTTTCTGAAGTTGTCTTTGGTTCTTTAGTCCTTTGAACTGCTGGCTTCTTCCAATAATCATTTCTGTAGTTGTGTACTGAAAGCATCAAAAGGATGGTGGGGTTTAGCTGGGAGGTAAGGCAAGAACAGTTTCTACCTCTATCAAACTCAAAATTATGGTTAAGACTACTGTTTCTTACAACTTACCATACACCTTCTTCTGTTCCCTGTTGAATTCAAGATGCTTGTAATCATATATAGCCTGGAAGTTTGAAGCTATCTTCCCATCAATGCCTACAGTTTCCAACACTCTCGATGCATGCTCATCCAAGAGGTTATGGGACACTACACATCGAAGAAATTTACATTTCCCGTGGAGAAAGTGTCGGCAAACATGAAGCTTGTTGCAGTTGTCTTGCTGCTTACAGTGATAACCTTTTTTGTTGTAAAAGTGGCAGGTCTAAAAGTGGAGAGGATAGAATAAGAAATGGAAAAGCACATTAGAATTTTTCTTCTTCCTACAGCCATGCAGCTTTAACAGCAGAAAAATAGTGATTAAAAGTCATGTGTTTACTGCAGCTTCTTTAATCTAGACAAATTTCTTGCCTAGAGGAGCAGGTATTTTGAGCTGACTCATGCATTTTCAGTTTTGAAGTTGCACATGTTTGGTTTCCAAGAAAAGCTAACCCAACAAGCTCAGGGGTACCAGAAATTGATGCAAGACTTGCATAACACCAGACTGGTTTACAGTTATTCTATTCTAAAAACCCCTACATCATAATGAACAATATGTATGCTGTCAAATGAATTATCATTTCATGGAACTGAAACTGAATTTGCACTTCCTATTTGTAAAGCTTATCTTGCATTGAAGATTTGAGCTTATAGAAGGGTAAGAAGAGTGCTTTGAGATTAGATTACATATGGAAAAAGCAATGCACTTCTTTATTCCTCTATTCACTAAAAAAGAGGTACACAGAGGTACATCAGACCAGGGAACAAATCACAGACCAAAAATTCCTTCGTACTGACCCTAAGCCACAGTAACAGTTTTGCTCCCAGAACAGCCTGTAATAAGAAAGCTTTGAGGAGGACACACAGCTGTCTGGCAGAGCCCCAGTATCACACTGGGACTCTCACAGGTCCCCTCCAAATCCCTCTTCCCAGGAGACACCAACCATTGCTCAGGGATGATGGGTTGGGCATCAATCAGTGGGTGGGGAGTAACTCTACTGGCAATTACTTGTATCTCTTGTGTTTTATTAATTTCTCACTCTCCTTCTCATTAGAGTTATTATATTTTATTCTATTTCAATTATTTCAGTATCCTTATCTCAACCCACAGGTTTTACCTCTTTTCCAATTCTCCTCCCCATCCCACCAGGGTGGGAGAGAGCAAGTGGCTGCATGGTACTTATCTGGCCTTAAACCATGAAAACAGAAGAAAGAACACTGTTCTCTTGCACCTGCCAAGAAACAAAACCAAAAACCAACCAAAACAAACAAATGAAACAGGAGAGCCAGAGAGGTAAGGGAAAGCATGAAAACTCCTGATGTTGTGGTGCTGTTGTGTTTTTCTTACTCTGAACCCCAGTTCAAATCAGAGAATTCCAAAGTGTATTGTTTCTTGAGAGCTTCCTACATGCCATGTCTTCACACACACAACCATTCAGCATTTCTAAGCAGGAAATAGCCAAATTGGCTTTCATATCTGACCTCCAAACTCTCAGGCTTATGAATGGCCTGCATTGATCACAGTTTTCTCTTGGTTTTGATGTTTTACTGCATGATAGGAGTTAAAGTGCTCAATTACAGGTAATTAAGCACCTGCCAGGGGTGAGAGCTGAACAAATTTCTAGTAAGAACTTAAGGGTAATACCAACCAAGAACAGTTGTTACTATTTGCTCACTAGTGGGAACAATTAGTAATTCTCCTTGCTTACCACCATGCTCCTTCAGTCTGCCAGTAAAACATACTTTAAAACACTACATAATTAAAAAAAAATCTGTTTTGTCAAAGTCTAGCATTTTCACAGCAGGGAATAAAGAAACAATAGAACTGTTGTGTCAACAGATCTGTTGAGATTATAACCTGAAAAAGACAATGGCAGTACTTTAGTAATTTCTTAACCCAGGAGCAGTTGTAGCCAGAACAGGGTACAACTGACTTTGAAACAGCCATACCTTGAAGACAGTATTGCCCTTATACACATGCTGAACCAGAATGGAATGTTCAACCACATTTAACAAAATCAATGAGCAGCATACAAACTGGGCAAAGATTCCTTTGTAGAAAGTCAGTGTACAAAAACTCCATGCACTTTGGAAGAGCCAGATTTGGCACGAAACTGCAGTCATTTGGTCTCATATTTATATCTGCAGTCATTTCTCATCTCTTACACCCTCAAGCACCAAAATGTGTGCAGCCCCGTGCAGGCCTACATAGACTAGAAAAGGAAAGGGGTGCGTGCTGACTTCCTAGTCTTCATCTCATAGAGAAGAAGCAACAAACTGGGTTTTGGTCATGTAAGCATGTACAATTATTGTGATCTTTAAACTTTCTCTTGCTTATCTTGCCTTCTGTAAACCTCTGGTGAAGTTGCTGACATTTTTGTTTGCTTACTTTGAGCAGCTTTATGGCTGCCCTGTTTGGATAACAGAATTGGCACACAAGACAGGCTGTAGCCTTGCTGCCCACCTCCAGCTAACAGAGGGCAGGTCTGCTCCTGACACATCACAGATGACAGGGCCTTCTCCAGATGTGTACACTGGGTACTTATTAACAGTTTTACTGCTGTGAGAGTGGTTTTTTTATTATTTTAAATACACAGCCCTTTCACAGATCTGGCTTTATGTTGTTTCATGTTGCCATTGCCATTCCTCCTTCATTCTGACTAATCCTGTTTCATATCTTAACAGCTGGACGTTAAGATCAGAACTCCACATTCTCTCTTGCCCTCTCCCATTCCTAATGAATGGAAACTTTCTCTTAAGAAATCAGTACAACTTACATCAGGGAGGAAGAATGGATCGTTTTGGAGAAGCAGGACTTGCAGTTCATTCTCACTGAGGCCAGACAAATCATGTTTTTTTAGAACTTTTTTGTTCTCTGCATTCATGATGTCATGCGAGTACTTACAAGAGCTGCAAGAAAATACACAGAAATATCAACGCTTGAGCCTTTAGTCAAGTTGATTTAAAGAAGAACCTCAGATAATGTGCAACTTGGGAAAAGCCAAAGTGAAAGAAAGGTGTCTTGGTGAGAGTCTCTGAACATTTAGATGGTGTCTGTAATTAGCCAGAGAATGGACCAAAGAGCAGAACTCCTCTGTGACCCGATCTTCCTCATTTTAAACTTCAATGCAGCAGGACCCCAGGCATTCTTTCAGCAATGGTGAAGCTGAAAACAACATATTTTGTTCTCCTCAGTGGCTGTGAAGTTTAATTAAAAAAAAAACAAACAGGTAAGAAAGTTTAACTTATGTGTTTTGATTAAGGAAGCAATTAAGCTGCAATAACAAAGCTAGTGTTGCCACTTACAAAGCCAAAAGTCTGATGAGTATGAATTAGAGATTGCAGATTTTTTTACATCTATTTGAAATGGTATTGCAAATCAGTAACAGAGAGGAGACACATACATAGTCAGCCTGTGCATTAATTTAATGCAGTAAAATACAGCTTCCTCATGTCCTGCTCTTCAACACATGATCTGATACAGCCTTAAGATTAGATGTACTCAACCAGTAAAAGTACCTGTTAATTTACCAGGTTCAAGTCTATCCCTTTACTCTTTCAGCCTCTACTTAACCCCTGAAGCTCCCCTCTTAACAGTTTTACCTCAAGTTGTGTCTGGCCCAATCCTTCCATACAGACCCTTGTGTAGGTATTTCTCCCCTGACCCCTGCTACCTGTTGGATACATTCTTTGCAAGCAACAGGAAGGGCAGAAAGTGTGCTGTCTTTGGTCCTGAGAAACAACCTTCCAAGGGAATAGGATGCTGTAGGCACTGAATTAATGGGTATGAAAGGAGGTAAACTACAGAGTATCTGAGGTGGGAGCCATCACCAGTGTTCCTCCAGAGTCAGCTTGAGAGTCCACCAACAGTCACAGAGTGATCTACATCACCTGAGTCTGTATTTCCCAGTCAAAGGTTTAAACACTCTACAAATACACTACACAGCTGAGTTTAGTAAGATATTTAGGAAAAAAAGAAAGTAACAGTGAACTTGTCAGACATTAGTTAGAAACAGGATTAATGGGACTAAAATAATGATTCCACTAAACAGAAGACCTGAGTAATTTGCCCAAAACATTTTTCTTTCCAGGGATTCTAAACGAAAAAGGATGCAAGACCTGAAGTAAGGCTAGATTTTACCTTATCAGTTAAAAAATAGTCTCTGTCTTGACCTATGTAGTCCACCTAGCAGAATTTTTGCCCTCTTATTTTAATCAAGCTCCCTCCCATGAAAGGTAATCTCTTTGCTTTATTGATTTTTAACGCATACCAAAGTGACTTTAAATACTTTGTGTTATTCAGAGGGCAAAATGGTTTATCATTATGAAGGGAAGCGCCTCATTGCAAGCTTTAATTCACACAAAGTCATCCATCATGAGTGTATGTCCACATCAAGGCATTTCCAACAGTGATCCCCACAGGAGCTTACTCTATTGTTTGTAATGTAACAAAAAAAAGAAAATGTTATCATCCTAATGATGAGAGATATGGCTTTCCCCCCTCCATGCTATCCAGATCTTAGTGCACAGTGATCCATTTTGTTGGGGCAGAAGAGGAAGGATCCAGTGGGATCATGCACGTTTCTTAACACTGCATCAGCACCAGACTTGGGGCTTGGGGGCTTAAACTACAAAGTTCTTCCATCAGTAATTGTAGTGGCAAAGCTGGGTTGCTCTTCTGCTTTCACTTTTGGTTTCCTTTATGGTTTTTAAACCAGGCACCACCTTTGGCCACCTGTGGCTAGAAAAGGCTGCCAGGCCTGCCCATCCCATGAGCCCCCCATATTCCAGAAACTGGGACTGATGCACCTGGATGATCAAACAGCGCCTCTCAAAGAAAGGGCCGTAAGCCAAACAATGACCTACAGCAGAACTCGACTTCTGTAACTCTCTAGAGCAAAACCAGAGGGCACGTCAGCACTTTGTTTTTTCCTTCCGAGAAATAGAGAAATAGAAACTACTCCACCCAGATGCCAGGGGGACTGAGCGATGCGTGCGGAGACGAGCAGATTTGAACACACAAACAACAAGGATAGAAACAACAACAACAAAAAAAACACCCCACAAACAAAAAGGAAAGAAACAAATACCCAAATGGTCGGTTTGTACGGACACAGCGGGGCCAGGACAGGAGTCCTTCCGGAACAAGGATCCCCCGCGGCTCGGGCATCACTGCCCGCTCCTCCCATGGCGCAGCGGCGCTCCGGCGGGGCGTGGGATGCGGGGGGCTGGAGGGGAGTTCGGGGGGCACGGGCGGGGTTCTGAGGGGGGGTGGGGGCTGTCCGCGCCCCGCGCTCACCTGGGCCCCAGGTTGCACCTGCCCATGAGGTGCAGCTTGCAGAGGTGCAGCCGCTCGCAGCCGTCGCACTCCTTGCGGACACAGACCCGCGCGTCCGTCACGGCCAGGACCTCCCGGCCGCCCTCCAGCAGCACGAAGCGCCGGGGGCCCGCCGCCGCCAGCGTGTGCTGCAGCTGCAGCGCCGGCAGCCCGATGTGCTCCTGCAGCTCCCGCAGCCCCAGGCGCCCGCCATGGGCGCACAGCGTCTGGGTGAGGAAGCTGCAGACGGCCGGATCGCACATGGCCCCTCCGCCCGCACGGGACCCGGCGCGCTGTGCCCGGAGCGGCGGCGGCAGCAGCGGGGCGGGCACTCGGCACCGCCTCCCGGCCGGCTCCACGCGAATCGAAACCGAAGGCACGGGTGCGGCTCCAGGGGCGCTGGGGGCACGGATCTGCCCAGCCCGGAGGCCTTCTTGGCTGAACGTCATGCGGGAAATTAATGCAAGAAGTGAGTGGAAGGACTGTGAGGTTTCCTTGTTTTTGTCAGGAATCACGGAATGGTTTGGGTTGGAAAGGTCTTAAAGATCATCTCCTTTCACTTTCTGTGCTGGGCAGAGTCTCCTTGCACTAGACCAGGTTGCTCCATGCCCCATCCAGCCTGGCCTGGACACTTTCAAGATGAGGCAGCCACATTTCCTCACCCTGCTAATGTTTGCTCTCTCTCTACACTAACACGAATCTAGTGCAGAGCATTAAGCATATAATGCAGGATAACACAAATGACTCTAGTATTTATAAAGTAATGCCATTACTTCTATTAATTCCCGACTGGCAGTGAGCTGCTGATTAGCACTGGTTGCAGCAGAGTGTCCTGGCAGGGCTGTGAAGTTGTGCTGGTTTTGGCTGGAGTAGGGTTCGTTTTCTTCAAGTGGCTGCTGTGGGGCTGTGTTTTGGATTTGTCCTGAACACAGGAATGATAGCAGAGTTGTTCTCATTATTGCCGAGCAGTGCTTGCACAGAGCCAAAGTCTTTCCTACTCCTTATATTGCCACGCTGGAGAGGAGGCTGGGGTGCGTGGGAAGCAGGGAGGGGGTGAGGGTGGGAGGAGGAAGGCTGGGACATTCGGTGTTACAGCATTTGTTTTCCCAACACACGGTGATACGTGATGGGGCCCTGGTGTCCTGGAGATGGCTGAACACCTGCCTGCCCTTGGGAAGCAGGCAATTCATTCCTTGATTTGCTTTGCTTGTGTGTGCAGCCTTTGCTTTCCCTACACTGTCTTTATCTCAATCCAGGAGTTTTCCTGCTTTTACTTTTCTGATTCTCTCCCCAGTCCTGCTGGTGGCGAGTGAGTGAGTAGCTGCCTGGGCCAGAAGCAGAAGTGCCAGGTTCCTCTTAGTGTTTAAGTATGGCTGGGGAGGGTCTGTGGGATGGGGAAGAAGCACAGCAAATACTGCCTCGAAAGAGGGTTGGCGATTAAATCAATTTGAGATTAATTTTTATACTGAAACCCTTTGGAAATGTAAGTTTCAGGGACATTTTCAACTGCTCCCCCTGGATCAGGAAGTTAACCTTGAAAATAGAGTGGGTGGCCTGTGTTGCCTAGTGCTGATGTCTCATTTGAAAGGCATGTGAAACTACAAAGTTAGTTCATAAAGAGTGAACTACCTCCAGGAATACAGCCAAGGTGGTACTGCCTGTGGTATGTTGTTTCTTTGTTGTTGAAGGCTATGTAAGTACCTTTTCTTTGGGCATATTTCCCCATACCTGTGCCCTTCCTGTGATAATTGAACCAATGAAATTACTTTTTAAAGCAACAGAAAAAGAGAGGTAGAAGGAGGAATTTGCCAGGTCATAGCTTTACATAAGTAAATTGATAGTTCAGGGTTGGTTTATGTTCTAGGTGTGGATATTGACATTCTCAGGTTGTCAACAGATCATCAAGGATAATAAAACTCAGACCCATACTCAAGGTAGTTTCAAGACGGACTGATAAGGAAGAAAATTAATGAAACTCTGAGTCAGCAATATATTGCCAGCTTTAAACAGTAGATGATAACAATGAATCAGGCCAATTGTACAGTAATTTGCTTATATTTATTTGTCTTTTGGTTTTTTGCATCCAATTTCAGTGAAAACATACATTTCTGCATTAATCCACTCAGAAATCTGAACTACTGGCCTGAGGAGTTTTGATGTATACTTCGTTGGAACAGTATTAACAGTATGGAGCAGTAAAGTGAAGCACTGCAAGCAGAAAGAAACTACAAATGCAGTCTTGGCAAGCAGGATCTATTCTCCACTTAAATACATTCAAAGAAGGGTTTTGGATCAGGCCTGAGTAAAAGCAAAGAAAGAAAGATTGCTGGATTTATCCTGTTTATTACTATGTTTTGCAACTACAAATGCCCAAACACTTCCTCAGCAGCTTTAAACAGAACCAATTTATGTGAAACAACACAACTGGGTGAGGCAAAAGGGATCACTGTATGAAGGAGTCCCAAAATGGTGTTATTTTCATAGTGACTCCAACCTCAAGTATCAACCCTTTGGTTAAAGTTAGAAACCAGTTAGATCCAGTGTGGCTGGATTGCTGTAACCTCTTGCTACCCTATAAATCTTTCTCTCAGGTGTCCTCCACTTGCAGCTGTAATATTTCCTTATTTGCCCTGACTCTGGTATTCAGCTGACTTTGTAGTAAGCAAAATCAGTTTTCAGAGACTTGAAACTGAAATATTGATTGGTACGAGCAAAGTATGAATGAAGTGGCTGTGTGCAAGCATCAGAAGAAACAGCAGAGCAAAGGCTAAAAGAATAGCCTGTGTAAACAACCGAAACCACAGCTTCAGGCAGTAAAATGGAGAACTGAATTGTTTTTTCTCAAAGCGGAAGTTTTGCATTCTGTAGCACAGACACCTTGTCAGCAGAAAATCCTACCATCTGACATGCTGGACGTGGCAGGAAGATACAGCACATCACAAGTAACATTTCTTTCCTGTTGATTCAACTGGGAGCAGACCATAGAACGGGGAAACAGAAAATAACCAGAGAAGTTCTATGATGTGCATGGAGGCAGCAGTAGCCAGACTGTGAAGCAAAAGGATGCTACCACTGTCAGTGCTAAGCCCACAAGCTTTCACAGGCAGTTTTCCCCTGCCAGTGGAAAATAACACAAGAGATAACAAAAGGGTGTGGTGGTTGGTGCCCATCTTCCCTTTCGTTACATGCAACATGGATCCTGGTGAAACCAGCACCCCTCCAGGGCTGTGAGTATGGGGATCTGACAGTGTGAACAGAGTTGGATAAATTGAATGGATGTGAATGAAAGCTGGGGAACCGAGTGAAATGAATGTATACCTAAATGCAGCTTCTGCAGCTTGACTGTGTGCAGATGGATTTTGGGAAAAATGTGCCTCATCTGATGTATCTGCAGTCGAAGCGCAGGACATGATGACACACTGGATTCTGTGGAGCTGCCTGCTCTATTTGAAGCAGAGGCTATTCCTGCTCTAAAGTTGGTGCAGCTGGAAGTCCCAGCTTCCCTGGTGGCTCTGACCGCATCAGCAGTTCTTCCCTGTGGGGATAAAAGAAAATATGCAGAAACACCCTGGGAATGATGCTGTCAAACCGGCTTTCCCTGATTTTTTCTGGCGTGTGACCTGTTCACTTTCTCTTTTCCTCCATTCTACTTCTTGAAATGCCTCTTTCAGGTCTCAGCTTTGGCTCACCTGTGTCTCACGTCCAACTCTTTTTCTTGATTTGGATTCCCCAGACTATTTCAAAAAGCATTTTGCAGAACATCCTGGCACCACTGTCTTGTTCCCCGCCCCCCACCCCATTTCTTACACAGCCCTCCACCAGTTCAGTATTGTTTGCTTACCTAGCTAATGGTATACAATTTGCCTGAGGCTTTCCATATAATTTTGAGGCTTCTTTGTTCTGAGGAAACTGTTAAGCTATGTGATAAAAGTTCAGCTGGTGAGAGGTGGGGGCTGTCTTCTCACCTGACGTGCCTGGCCCACACACACCCAATGACTGCAGTCAGTTCAGGCTGTCTCATCCCCAGCACAGGCACTGGATGAAGACACAATCTTCACTGTAAATTGTAACTGTTACTCTGCCCAGGTCACTTGCTGGAGTGGGTTGGGCTGTGGGGATGGCTGGGCAGGGACATGCCTCCCAGGCACCTGTCCAGATGTTGCATTTCAGACTAACAAAAGTTTAGTAGAAGTAGTTCGGCTAAGGCTTAGAATTCTTAGTAGGCCATAGGCTGTGTGTTGTTAGAAACAGTTGTTAGGTAAGGGCAGTACGGAATACTGGAGAGGTAGGAACTTGTCTCAGAATACATTCCAAGAATGGGCCGTGGTAGGACATGTCATTATCTACAAGATGGATAGGTAGATCTTGGGGGAATACATTGTATTTACCTAACAGAGTGAAGAGAATTTATGATCATAAAGAATGTTCAATTTAAACAAGGATTAATTTGTAAATAAATGATTGTTGGAGTGTAACGTAGACAAATATGTGTTGAATTAAGCAACTGTTGATATAGACTCTATATAAACGCAATGATTTGTTAGCTCGGGGGGCTCTGACTTTGGACATTAGTCCTCAGGCTCCCAGGGCTCTCAATAAAGCACCGCATAAAACGACTTCGGTTGTTTTGTGTTCTCTTTACGGGCAACACAGAGAGGAGGAAAAGGAGCACGAGCCAAAATGGAAAAAAGGCAATTTGAGTAGAAAGTATGCAATTATTATGAGAAATTTAGGGGAGGAACAAGTGTGGGAAAATAAGGGGGTAGTCAGTGACTAGTGAGTGAGGGCAGATACCTGAGTATGTGATGGACCAGCTGGTGTAAAAGTGAAGGCCTGGGCTTTGGTGGCAAGTGCAACATCATCAGTTTGGGGCACCTGCCTCCCGGATGATTTCTAGATTTGATCCAAACACTCCCTGTGTGCACTCCTATTTCTGTCCTAGCAGGTGTGCTGCTTCGGTCATTTGCCAAGCTGGACACAAGGACACAAAAAGGACCTCTTTGTCATAGTTAGGAGTGCAAGTCATTTAGCTAAGCACAGGTCAGCTAGAGAAGACCTTGTGCTCACAGAGTTAAACTAAAAAGTAATTTTTTTCAATGCTAGTAGCATTCTTGTGATTGGTGGTAGTAGGAAAAGAAAAGCTGAAAAATATTCAGCTCTGGGTTATGTTTTTCTCTACTCTTCTAAGCAGAGTTACTTGGGGAAAACTTGATGCAAAACTTAAAGTGAAGTAATGTTGAAACACTCTGACTGTGGATATAATCTCAGTTCTAACTGCAGTCTTTTAGAAGATTATGGGATAAACTTTCCTGGAAATTCATTTCCCATCATGTCTAACATCCTGTTAAATGAGGAGTGCACCTTCTCAAGCTTTGTGAGCTGGGTTGTTCTCTGCTTGAAATCAGACCCACCACATATCATGCTGTCAGTACAAAGCACTTGGATCTTCCTATTCTCCTTTCTCACTCTCAGGGCCAAGTATCTCACACAGCTGTGATACCAGGCTGGAGCTTTTCTCCTCTTGTGATGCTTCTGGGCCCAGGAGCCCCAAGAGTAGGAACAAAACTAAGGAGAGCTGGTAGGCAGAAGGCCAGTGGGTGTCAATGCCTCAGAAAGACCGAGGCTAAAAGACTGGTCAGAAATCAAAGGACCAAATAGGTGATGATGACATAGTAGAAAACATATTATATCCTGGCTGCCCAGCTGCTTCTGGGGCCCTGGGAGAGGGGCATGGGGTAGCAACAACCCATTTGAGAGACACAGAATTTGCTGAGCTGAAAAGGACTTATCAGGATCATGGATTCTAACGCCTGGCTCTGCACAGGTCACCCCAACAATCCTGTGCCTGAGAGCGCTGTCCAAACGCTCCTGGAGCTGTGGCAGCCTTGGGGCTGTGACCATTCCCTGGGGAGCCTGGGCAGTGCCCATTCATGCTCTGGGGGAAGAGCCTTTCCCTGATATCCAGTCTGACCCTCCCTGACACAGTTCCAGCCGTTCCCTTGGGTCTTGTCACGGGCGTGAGGAGATCAGTACCCATGCCCCTGCTGCTCCTCAGGAGGACCTTGAAGACCATGATGAGGTCTCCCCTTAGTCTCCTCCAGGCTGAACAATCTGCTGGTGAGTTTGTAACCACTAGATGGAACTCTAACCCTTTGCATTAATTCACTGACCAGCTGCAGAGAGTTCGTCCTGATTTTCGGTAAGGCTGTGGGTCTGATAGCTGAATGGCAACACCTGTGCTCATTAGGAAAGGCCTTTTATGGAAATGCAGCCAGGGCTCCTAAAGTATGGGATAGTCATGCATTCATTCTTTCTAGGGAGCAAGGATACAGCATGTTTTATGCCAGAACCAAGGTAATGCTATTGGCACCTCCTACAGAGTGGCACAAAAGCCTTTGATGACTTGAAGGAGAGCACTGGGATACATCATTCCTTCGACAGACCACCACCAGCACATGATTTTGAGTAAGTCATTTAATATTTCTGTGGCTTGGTTCCCTCTTTGCTGAAGTGAGTATTGAAACTGTCTGCCTTAAAGTGTGCTTGAGCATCCAGTATGTTATTGTTGAAGCTTTTTAATACTCCTTGGTGGGGTACATCTCACCAGTATACAGTGGCAAACAAAAATGTAATCATCTACAACACAAATCCTACATTCTGCTGTCCTTCAGTTTCTGAGACTCCAGACTTGTTTTCTTACAGCCCATTAAATAAAACAAACTAAAGGACAGCTACCATTAATTTCTTAAAGGCTTACATGTTTCATTATATTTAAAGAATAACCAGTATTATAAAGCCTAGAGGCCCCAGGCAAGATCAGCTTTGTGCTGTGCTGTCTTGTACAAACAGAGTAAAAGGAATTCCTTCCCTTAAGCAGGTTACAGTCTTCACAGGCAAAAATGTACCTGGGGACAGAGAAAGCAAGCAGTGCCCTAGTGGATGCAAAAAAAAAGCCATCACTTGACATGGGGGAATTCAGAGGTGTAAGAGTAGCTCAGCACTGGTGTAAAGCTGGTATAGCACCATGGATGCTGTGAGTTTACAGCAATTTATACAAGCTGAGGATATGCCTCAGGTAGGGGAAGTGTCTTTCTTAATGTCAGATTCAAAGTCTAGCCTAGAGTTGAACCAGATCTTCCAAATCGTGATCACAAGGCTTTGTTTTCATGCACTTGCTTCCCCACTGGCCGGTGGAAGGGTGGCTTGTTTGTCTCAGATTGAAAATATGAAACATCACTGCACACAGTTTGTAGGAACCCAGCTGGGGTTTTAGATGGGCACAGAGTAATGTGGAGAAAGAATAATTCAGATCTGAAACAGAAGAGACTGAAACATTGCAATTAATTGTTTTAAGGGATTACTAGCTGGAAGGAGAGTAGAATTCTTGCTATTACCAAACAAATTTTTAAAATAGTTCATATTCCAAATGATGCTTAATGATTAAGTATTGTCTTTTCTCACCAAACACAGTGTCTTTTGCTATTATCAAATAAGTAGGTTGTGTGTTAATTGAATATATTGCTCCAATATTAGGTCTATTAGCCACCTTCAAAGTCAGTAGAGATTATTTTTCCTTACCTGCATTGAGATGATACTGTGACTATATTAATAGTAGCAATATACTTCAGAGCAATGCAGAGATATTTGATTTCTCAAGAGACATGAGAGGCTCCAAAATATTTCTCAGTAGTTATTTTACCATTCAAAGAAAATTAATGAAGCAGTAATAATGGTGACTATTCTGAGAAAAAGACTCTTCTTGATCAATTTGTATGTATAAACACAAAGAAACTAGTAAAAGTAACCAGAATATTGAAAATGGAGCAGGAAAACTTCCTCTGGTAATAGGAGATTATTGGCCTTTCTCAAATACAGTCCTTCAGAGAAAGAAAAGACAGATTTCTTACAAGTACATTTTGTCAATTGTCCAAACACGCAAGGAAAGTGGTAGGGAAGTTATTAATTGATAGATTATGTGAAATACATTAATTGATAGCAGAATGATCCAAATATGTAATTTAAAGGTTTGTACAATGTAAACAAATTGGCTTTTAGTCTTCCCAATTCAGCTTGGAGCTTTAACAGAAGTAGTTTACAGAACCTAACCTGAAGCCAGTGAGGTTTCATTTGCAGGGGTTTAACTGGGAGAGTAAAGCCTCAGAGGACTCATTAGCAGGTGGGGTCACACAAAAAAGGTACAGAAAAAGAAACAAGATGAGCACTGTCCATATGGAAAGCTGCTCCTGATTCACTGAGGAGGTAAGAACAGGAGCTGAGATTCCAAGCTAAGAACATTGCAGTTCCCACTTTTGGCATTTCTTCCTGGCTGTGTGGCATTACTCAAGCAAGATACAAACATTTTCTCAAGAGAAGTAGGTCAGTCAAATGAAGTACTTGGATTGAGAATAGGTAGATGAGGATTTTTTTTATTGGCGTCTTCCCCTGCACGTGAATCCTGAATTTCCTGGCTTTGGTCAGAGCAATTCTTCTGTTTCACAAATGCTAATGACCAAACAAATCCATCCTCCTGCTCTTGGAAAGGAGCAGTTTTCCTCAGAGACTTTGCAATAATCTTGGAAATAAGGGCATAAATGAAGAAACAACTGACTTGTAAAAGGGGATTAGCAGAGTTGTAGCACTGTTGGCATATAAGAGACTGTGTTTGTAATGATAAATTTTATTCACATGATATAAAATAGCAAAACTTTAAAACAGTAACTAACACTTAACAACTCATTGCTGATCCTCCTAAGAGGAAATAATAAATGCCAATTCAGCTGTTTCTTCACTGTCATAAAGTTATTTGCACTGGCCATGCAGAAATAGTGTCTTCCAGATTGTGAATGCATGTTAGTAGTGTCAATTTGTGATTTATTATAAAATCCCTGTGGTCTTGGCTGGAGAAAATTTTCCAAAACTTTGGGCTTGATTATCTTGTGATATGCAGGCATTTGTTTATTGGAGGGCACAAGTTACTGATGTGCAACATTCAGAAGTGATAAAGGTTCTACGTTTAGTTTAATACTATTCCGTCTATTTTGGAATAATTCTGCCTCCAGAGAAGGGCAAATATGATGAAGTACAGTTGACTAACAAAGGTAAAACTGGAAGCTTTGGTCTGAATTAGATATAAAAAATAAAAGGTGTCCATAAGTTTTGCGATGCCGTGGTGACTGATGGAGAACAAGAATGTGATAATTGTTTGCAAGCCTTTCCTGGAAACATCTTGACTGTTCCAAGATGCAGAAATTCAGTCTGAGGATGATGTAACAGTCATCAGCATTTTACCTGAAAAATGTTACCACCATTCTCTTCTTGGAAAACTGAAGTGATAGGGAACATGCTGCCAGCATTTAACTCTGGACTAAGCAGTGATGTTTTTTGGGCATGTAGTCAATTACCAAGCCAGTGTAATGTAGGCCAGGTTAAACCTGCAGCACAAAATTGGAATAATTTCAAGTTATTCAACATTTCAAGTTTTTACTTTTCCAACAATTTTCCTTTAGATTTTATCATCGCTTGGAAAGGTTTTTATGTATGTTAATATTTCTAAACATCTCAAGAGCTTGTAGATTTTTTGGCACTTTCCTGCAGCTGTGAATATCCCATGACTAAG